TTCATTCTTTTTTTTTAATATTTATTTTTTAGTTGCAGTTGGTTATAATACCTTTAATTATTTATTTTTATGTGGTGTTGAGGATCGAACACAGAGCCTCACATTTGCTAGGTGACATTCTACTGCTGAGCCACAACCCTAGCCCAATGGTTTCTTATAATGGAGGATTTAGAAATCAAGATCTGGACTATTGCCATGCTTCAGTCTTTCCCCCATAACACCTCTCCTCTTGTCTGTCACTTGCACATTCTTAGGCCTTCGTGGACAGACTTGGGAAAATATAAGGTTGTACGTAGGTACATGCATAGGTACACACAAACCTATACTTTGTGGTGTGTATATATGTATTTCACAACCATGAATCCAAATCGTGTGTGTGTGTGTGTGTGAGAGAGAGAGAGAGAGAGAGAGAGAGAGAGTGTATGTGTGTATCATATACCCCCACACCGCTAGGAATTGAACCCAGGTCCTTGTGCATGCCAGGCTAGTGTGCTACTGAGCCACATTCCTAGACCACTTAAACCATATTCCGAATTTCAGTCCATTATTTTGACTTATTTATACCATGTCCATTTTCTCCTTTTTAACTTTTTTGGCAATGAGAAACATGGTCCACATTATCCTCAGTGTATTTACTTATTCATTCAGTCAGTTTACTTATTTGGTAAGTGTAACACACGTTCCAGCCATGTTGCTCAACTCCTCTGTCCCTTTGGAGCTCCTCCTACCATATCCTTACCTGAAGATTGGGACTGTGCCTCCATGTGGCTTTCCCTAAATTCATCCTCATTGCTTTTTATACTCAGTATCTGTTCTCTCTACCTCCTTGTGCTTTCCCAACCTGTAATCAATCCTCCCTTCCTTCCTTTTTTTAATATTCATTTTTTAGTTGTAGTTGGACACAATACCTTTATATATTTATTTTTATGTGGTGCTGAGGATCAAACCCAGGGCCTCACACTTGCTAGACGAGCGCTCTATAGCTGAGCTACAACCCCAGCCCAACCTGTATCTTTTCATAATCCATGTTCTTAGTAAAATGAAAGTGAGGAGATGATTTTAAAATTAGATTATGTGATTTATTTTCTTAATGCATGTCCTAAAAAATGTACATTTAAAGGTTAGTTTAAAAATGATAGTCTTTGATATATACGTGGAATTTCATGCATTCATCTGTTGAAATTATATCCATTCTTGTTTTAACACCTCTCTGAGATTGTCATATGTAACATAGGTTGTTTTCATAGATTTGTTGTCACTCTGAGTTTAAGTTTATTTATTAATGTATATTTTTAGTATCAAATTTAATTTTTTTTGTTTTCTGATTCTCCCAGCTGTATTGGCATTGTAACCAATTTGAATGTTGTACTCTTTTTAAGAAACTAGATCAGTAAAGTTTCATGTAGCGTGTTTTGCTTTTTAAAGATTCAGTCTTGAATAACTGAGTGTTTTCTTCATTGTTAACCAGGTATTTGAAGAATTGATTTTAACTATCATCTAAAACTTATTTTATATATTTGGTATACTGCAGTTCCGAGGCATATGAGAAATTGCTGTTGATTCATTTGTATACTTACATGCTTCCTTGGCATAGTGACATCTTCAAAGACTTTTTCCACCAATTTCTAACTGAAAATTGCTTATGCCTTTAAGTGGTCTTATGGAATGCAGCAGTGATTTTTAGGTGCCAGATAGGACATTTGGTAGATTGACTAGAAAAATAATTGTTAAGCAGTGCTGTGAGGTAGCTGTTTCCTTGACAACTAGAAAACTGTTTTGTTTGCTCAACAAAGAGATGATAGTTTAGTAGTTTAATTTCTTTTTTGTTATGGTCGCGTTACATAAATACATCTTATTTGAGCCTTTGAGATGGTCCATATTATTAACCAAAATTAGAGAAACAGCAAAAAGAGAAGGTATGGCTGTGTAGATATGTATGTATATGTATCAGGGCTGGTGTTGGTCAAAGAAATCTTAGTTAACCCGGGTATAATTCTTTGTACATCTCTACTTCAGACCAAAGTACATTAGCCTGGAAATAGGTGTATAAGTCTTGGTTGTCTTTCCGTCATACTCAGGGAATGATATACTTCATTATGGAGCAGAAACACAAAGCCATAACACCTCTTGCTGCTACTAGCATTCAGTGTGCTTGCTTCACATATGAATTGAATGAGGGAGTCAGTATGTTAAAGGGCCTTGCCCCCATTCAGATCCCCCCCGCCCAACAAGGCATCTTGTGTATTTGGGAATTCGTAGTGACTTAAATCCTTTTGCAGAGGCATTTTTTAAACTCAGTTTCTCCTCACATTATTAAGTCCTAACAACAGCCTTTAATTGGTGCTATATGTTGAGCTCTGTACTAAACACTTTTTCCTCATCCCTATGATATCATAAACTGTTACTGTATCCTGAGGCACAAGAGTCCTAGCCCAAGTCAGACAACTAAATAAGTGGTAGAATTTAAGCATCTAATTCAGGAGTCTGTACCCTTTGTTGTTGTGTTATTGTGTTTGTTTTTTGATGCTAGGGCTTGAACCCAGGGCCTTGCACATGCTAAGTACAGGTTCTATGACTGAGCTGTATCCCCAACACTAGTGCTTGTACTTTTAATTACTATTTTGTAACTGTCTTTTATTAATATAGTTGCATCAATAAAATGTAGGGTATAGAAAAATATTAATAACAAAACTCAGTAAAATTCAGTCCCAGTCACTGCAAATAATAATTTTTTTGTTGTCCTGATGAAGTAATACAATATCTGGAATTTCTTTCAGGATAATCAGGATTGAGGGATAATTAAAAGGGGAGGGTTGATGAGACAGTTGTATGGGTTAATAATTATGGTTACATGCAGGATTTATTATAGTAGTCTGACTTCTTTCTTTTTATTAGTACTGGGAATTGAACCCAAGGATCTTTAGCCACTGAGTCACATCCATAGCCCTTTTTATTTTTTATTTTGAGACAGGATCTCATTAGATTGCTTACCACCTCGCTAAGTTGCTGAAGCTGGCTTTGAACTTGTGATCCTTCTGCCTCTGCCTCCTGAGCCAAAGAGATTACAGGCATGCGCCACTGTACCTGGTTCTGTCTTCTTTGGTATTATGTTTGTAACATTCCTCAGTGTACATTTTTAAAAACAAAGAATGCAGTCAAGTTGTTAAAAAAAAAAAATTAACCTTTCCTTAGAAGTGGACTTTGAATAAAACCTTTTTTCTCTTCCCTTGTTTTTGTTTGGATGTGAAGTGTTCCCCAAAATCTCCTGTGTGATAAGAATGTAATTAGTTCAGAGATGAAATTATTAGAGATGTAATCTAATCAATGGATTAATCCAGTTGAATGAATTGAATGGGTGGTAACTGTAGGCAAGTAGATGTGGCTGGAGGAAGTAAATCATTAGGGACCTGCCTTTGGGGTTTGTATTTTGCCCCTGGCACCTCCTTTACTATCCTTCTGCTTCCTGGCTGTTAGGAACTGAGCTGCTTTTCTCCTCCATGCCCCTTCCACCTTGCTGTTGTGTCTCATCTTGGGCCCAAAGCTAAGGATTTGGCCGATCATGGACTGAACCTCTGAAACCGTGAGCCAAAGTAAACTTTTCTACCTCTTAAGTTGTTTTTGTCTATTGTGGTCACAGGGACAAAAAGCTGACTAAAACATTCCCTTGTTCTATTCCCTTAATCCCTCTTAACAGTTGTTTTTATTATTAGATAAACTCTTTTCCCCATACATAATATAATGTGTCCTTGGTTATTTCCATGTTTCTACAGGGGAAAAATATATAACATTTTAAAGGAATACACATTACCAGTTATCCTGTGTTTTTTTTCTCATTAGATTTAGTACTGAGAAACACTGAATTCTCAGAATTATTGACATTATTTGAAAAAAACTGAAGAAAGTGATTTAACTTTGAATTTGCATAATTTATGGTGTGAATAGTCATTTAAATTGAGATGTTGCTTCTTGAATTTTTTTTTTTTTTTTTTTTTGTGTGTGTGTACATGTACATAGTGCTGGGGATTGAACCCAATGCCTCCTAGGTACTAGGCAAGCACAGAGCCTCTTTTCATTCCTTTTTATTTTACTTTAAGACAGAGTCTTGCCTAAGTTGCCCATGTTGGGCTTGAACATCAGATCCTCCTGCCTTAGCCTCCTGTGTAGCTGGGATTACAGGTGCACCACCAGGATCAGCATTAAAGGAGGGGGGCCGGTGGCAAGGGAAATGTGAAATCATACAGATCTATTTTACTTTATTTTTTGTTCATTGTGTTAGTCAGCTTTTTGTTGCTGTGACAAAATATCTGGGGAAAACAACTTAGAAAGAAAAATTTACTTTGGTTTTGGTTTCAGAGACTTCAGTTCATGGTGGGCCAGCTAGCTCTATTACTTTGGGCCTGGGGTAAGAATCAAACTCATTGCCTCACATATTGCTAGGCAAGTACTCTACCACTGAGCAACAACCCCAGCCCCTCCTTTTCTTTTTTGATGGAGCTTCTTAAGATATTATATTTCTTGTAAAACACTTTGGCAAAAACCGTTTACATAATCATCCTTTGGCTATGGAATTGGTTTATACAAGCAGAACTCCTTAGAAATAAATGGGTCCTCTGCAGAAATTTCTCTGATTGTAAAAGGTAAAAGTAATTAGATTAGGGCTGTTATAAACACAATCACAAATGAGGAAATAGTTTGAACCTATATGAATGCATTTGAGATGTTTGACAACAGTTTATTGGAAATGTCTCAGATTGGATTTTCTTATAGCTTCCATCAGTAGTTTGAATACATTTATTTTCCTTTCCTTTTATACTGTTTTACCTTACGTTGTGTGTACATATAACAGCTATTCTGAATTTGGGTTGAATCTTCAGATATAGCCTGAAATATTAGAAGATATATATATATTTTTCAGATTTTGGGGTTCAAGGATCTGCCATCTAGCAAATGGATCCTTCTCTTTAATCATATAACAAATCAGTGTTTTAGTGAGTAAATGAATGACTGGAGGTGGAAATGGAAGGATATACCTTGTAAGTGAGCTAGTTCATATCAGGGACTATATGTGTTCAATAGGAAAGAAAAGCTCTTCTATTTTACATGATAGATATTTAATATATTTAAGTAGGTTTTATGGTACATATTTTATTATTTTTATTTTATGGATGTATAGTAAAATATAATTCTGTTAGCTTAATAGCTATAATAGGATTGGATTCACTATTTTGATTTTTGGAAAGGAACTTGGCAGTTTGAGTCTAATTATATTTCTTTGCATGTTTAGGCCCTTGATGAGCCTCCCTATTTGACAGTGGGCACTGATGTGAGTGCTAAATACAGAGGAGCCTTTTGTGAAGCAAAGATCAAGACAGCAAAAAGACTTGTCAAAGTCAAGGTAAAGTAATTGTAGTATTTGTAAGTTATATGTTCAGTATTGATATTTAAACTCTTGTTGGGTAAGTATACCTAAGAGTTATTTTTCTGCCAAATGAGTTTCTTGGAGTAATGGTTGTAAAAGCCCCAAATAAGCATTATTATAAAACATTGCAGTTAGAATAAAGTTAGATTTCATAGTTGATATTTTACAATGGATTTGTTATTGTATGTAATGTTAGTGTTTTAGTGCTGGGAAGTCGTCTTAATTTTATTATAGGAAAATTGAGGATCACAGAGGATGGTGATTTATTTCCCCAAGGCCATTATAGCAAAACAGTTTGCCAATTTTAACCATGAGCTTCGGTTGTGACTCATAATTGATAGTATCTTAATGATGAGATAAGATTCATTTGGTTGATGATTCTTTATCTTCTGCCTTTTTTTGAAAAATCTAAAGTTACATGAGTTTTCTCTCAAATATCAGACAAAAAGAAATGTAATTGCTTTTATTTTAATAAATGATCATGATCCTGGTGTAGTAGTGTTTGCCTATAGTTCTAGCTACTCCAAGAGAAGGAGGCAAAATCACATTTAGGAGTTTGGAGACCAGTCTGAGGAATATAGCCACATTTTTTCACCCTAAAAACAAACAAGAGTATAGCTCAGTGGTAGTGTATTCACCTACCCTAAGTGAGGCCATGGGTTCAGTCTGCAGCACCACAAAGAAAGGAGAAAAAGAGAAAGAATAATACACCGGCCACCTATATTTAATAACAAAAATATGTCTGTGTTTTTGAAAAATACAAGACAAGTAAAATATTTGAATGTCGATATTTATTCATTTATTATAATATATTGATTAGTAAACCATATTTATGAAACTTAGTGGGAAGGAGTGTGTGGGGATACAAGAATGAGACTTGAACTCTGTCCTCCAGAGATTTATCATCTAGATGAGCAGATATGTCAACCATTGGCTGCAGAGGTGTTTTGCTTCCTGTGGAGAATATCTGATTCTCCTCTGTAGCTTTTCCCATGTTGCATGCTTGGGTTCCTCACTCATTATGCTCTTGACTAAGAACCATTTGAAAAAGCCTTAGAATTAGCTATAGACCTGTAAGATGCTAATCTTGGCCCCCAGGTGCCTCTTCTTTCCAGTCTGCATCTGACAGTTCACTTATAATGTGGTTTTATGGGGGTACTGATGTTTCTTCTTCGGACTTCACACACTGGTATTCCCTAAACACTCCGTTTTTCCCAGCACTATACTAGAATTGAAGAGAAAAACACTTACCAATTTTCTCACTTTTTCTGGAGCTGCTTTTAGCACATGTAACACCTTCCTGTGAATTAGACAAAGGTCCTCCCTTCTGGTGGAGAGCTGGGGACACACAACAACTCTGTTAGAAGAAACATGCTCTGGGGGCAGAAACCTTGTTATTCCAGGACCTGTGCTTTGGCCCAAGAATTATTGTCTGAATTTTACCCCCAACTTGCATCCTAGCTAAGATGACATCTAGCATTCCTGCCATTTCTTGATCTAAATAAAAGGAACAAAACTCTAGTGTTAAGACCTCCCATCTGCCAGTGGCTTATGGTTTAAGTGAAGAATACATACAGATACCTATGAAGATGATTTAAGTAAAGTGGTGATGCTTAGTGACACAGAAATGCCTGGGATGCCACTAGGCATCTCCTTTCATAGCTGGTTTGATAATCACATAAATCTGATAAGAACATAATGATGGTTCAATCCTTTTAAGAACTGTTTTGCCTTGTGTAAGAAAAAACAAGTTTTTCTGTACTGAACAGTGGAAACTATCATGTTTTTCACTAGCTAATTAAATATTCCAACACAAACCCTTTAATTTAAATATTCAAACTTGAATCCTTTTGTTTAACTTAGTGTGTTCATGTCTGGTTTTCTGTTTTCTGATTTCTGTAGTACTGACATAAAGTACAGTAAAGTTCTGGAGCTCATTGAACTTTAGTGCCACCATGTACTAGTTATGAGCTTGGACTAGTCCTGAGTTTTGTTATCTACAGACTGGAAATACTCAGACCTACCTAAAAGGGTTGTTTTGGAGATTAATTGATTGATGATTGATTGATTTTGGCAGTATTGGGATTGAACCCAGGATTGCATGCTTGCTAGGCGAATGTTCTACTACTGAGCTACATCCCCTTGAGTGTGATGCTTAGCTCTCAGTAAATGCTTGTGGCTACCGTTTATTATTAAGCTAAGCCTTCACAAAATTATATAACCTCTAATAGCTGAAGGTCTCTATGCTGTCTTTCAGATTTATTTTTTATTTTAATTAATTAGTTAATTTTTGTGGTATAGGGGTCCTTGACCATGGAGCGAGCTATATTTCTAGCCTTTTTTATTTTGAGACAGGGTGTTGCTAAGTTGCCCAGGCTGGCCTCAAACTTGCCATTCTCCTACCTCAGCTTCCCAAGTTACTAGATTACAGGCATGGACCACTGTGCCCAGCTGTCAAAAGATTTTTCAGTTAATCCATTTAGGATTTGGGATCTCATTTAAATTAGGCAATTGTTAGTTTGTACTTCTTATAACAGAAACGAACAATTAATGTAAATATAAGATTATGTTGCTTGGTTTTTGTTGTTATTGTTGTTGGCTAATTAAATTTATAATTTCTAGGTGACCTTTAGACATGATTCTTCAACAGTGGAAGTTCAGGATGACCATATAAAGGGCCCACTGAAGGTAACTGATTTATTCATTATCAGTTCTGTGATTGGAAAACAGAAATATGTGATCTTTTTCTTTTAGTTCACTTTGTTTTATAATTAATAAAATATATACTTTTATCTAAAAATTGAGTAGTAGAAAAAAATAGCTTTAACATTAAAAAATAGCTAATATGTCAGTAAAAACTAATAGTGTGTTCATAAATGAAATATGAATGTCCAGAAGGCATTGAGTGCTTTCATTCTCCAGGATGATGGACTTTTCCATGATGGAGAGATGATGAACTAGAGATCATTGATGAACGTTTTGCATGAGAAACTTAAACACTAGAACTCAGAGCTCTTAATTCTTTGGAGTACCTGCTGGAAAATGAAGTCTAAGAGTCACTAGGCAGCTGTAAATAATGAGCATGTTCCTACTAAAAGCTATGGAATTTTATTTCTTTGCTTTCACTTTTTCCTCATTGACCCGTAAAATAAATGTTACTCTACTTTGTGCCAGTGAGCAAGCCTGGAACATGTGAGGAGCCACTTTGTGATCTTGGGCCCTTTGAAATGTCTGAAAATGGTCATTGGCCTGGCTAGGAGAATTAAGAAATGTTAAGAGTATTGAAGAAATATATTTGTAGATATAAGAAAAAAATCTCTTAACTGTTGAAGCTGTAATTTTGAGACAGAAATAGATGTGTTTTATAGTTTTTCAATTTTAAGACTTAATTCAACCCCCAGGGCATTAATATTTTGCATATATAGTAGGTACTGTGCAGGATTAAAACTCCTTAAGTTTGGTGGTGGTTGTTTTGTTTTGGTTTTACTCTTGCCTTGTAAAAATTTATTTCCAGTCATTTCTATTTTATAGGTGTCATCTTGAATATTCATATACATGTTTATTTCTTGCAGGGACAAAAGACCAAAAACATGTACTTTTGTAGTGTGACATTAAGCCACCATTTCTTTACCCACCAGTATGGGCTAGTACTGTGCTAAGTCTTTTTGCACATATTATTTATCATAACAGCTTTTTAGGGAAGCGGAAACTGAAGGGAGGTGAAATAATTAGGCCACAGTCTCAGTCAGTAATGGCTGTACCAAAGTTCTAATAGGGTCTTAGCCGATCATCAAAAAACTTTCCCTTCTGTACCTTTAGTACACATACATATCCATGCTGTGTTTGTGTTTGGCTCATAAGCACAGGAGCATGGCTCTTCATTGCTTGACTGCCCTGTTGGCTTGGCATAGACACACAGGTGTTAACTATGAAGTTCTGTTGTACAGGAATTGAAAAGGCAGCTATTTTGTAGCTTTAAGCCATCTTCTCTGCTTTGACCCCCAGCTTCCTTGAGAGTGGTATAGTTGATTTATTTTGTTCATTTAGTTTTCCTACATTAAAATTTCCTTTGTTTGTGATTAGGACTTAAGACTATTTTGAGTTTGACATACGCAAACATACCACATTTTGGTCTCAAGATTATTAAAATACTTTTCTTTTTTAGGAGGCAGGGTTAATGGGTATTGAACACGGACCTTTTACTACTGTGCTCCCTCCCCACCCCTTTTTATTTTTCAGTTTGAGACAGGGTCACACTATGTTGCTTAGACCCTCATTCATTTGCTAACGCTGAACTTGAACTTGTGATCCTCCTGCCTCAGCCTCCCCAGCTACTGGGATTATAGGCATGTGCCACCACACCTGGCTGAATTGCTTTTCTTACCTGTGGTTTTGGTTTTTGTTGTTTTTTCTCTAGAGTTTGATTGTTCCTTAATGTCCTTTATAACTTTCTATCACCTAGTAGAGTGTCAGCATTTGGATAAAGAAATAAGTCTACCAAAAATGATGGTCATTTGATATCAACACATTTTCAGTAATGAGTTTATATGGAAATAATTCCTAGGCCATTTAACAAATAAAAAATAACAATGGTGTTTACTGATCGTAATCATTTAATCAAAGTCCTGTGAATTCCTCAGAGTTCTCTTTTCTTTCTTGGGCATAGTTGGGGGTTAACAGTCTCTTTGAACAAGTTTATTTTTATTATCACTCTATAAAGATCATATAATTATCAGCATTTAATGATCAGATGGAAAATAAATTGCTCTCATTAATGGAACATACTATCCCTTTAGGAACCTCAGAGCTATTTTTTCAATTGTCAATTTCATATGCAGTGGTTCTTAAAAGAGATCCTTTGTGGTTCCCACAACCCTTTAAGAGGATATAAGAATAGAACTGTTTTTTTAAAAAAAATTATTTTATTTATTTTTTTACGTGGTGCAGAGGATAGAACCTAGTGCCTCACATGTATTAGGCAAGTGCTCTACCACTGAGGCACAATGTCAGTCCAAAACTGTTTTTGTAATAATACTTAGTTGTTCAAGTATGTTTTTCTGCTATGTCAACATTTCATTGATGTTACAAACCTATTGGTGGGTGAAATTGCTGGTATCTTAACACAAATCAAGTTCAGTAGTCATTTTATTCTTTACCACTGTGCACTCATTTAAAAAAAAAAAAAAAAAGGAAACCATGGTTTAGTTTATTTATCTTTAGAAAGTTTTTCTAACATTTTAAAAATATTTTAGGTAGGAGCTATTGTGGAAGTGAAGAATCTTGATGGTGTGTATCAAGAAGCAGTTATCAATAAATTAACAGATGCAAGTTGGTACACTGTAGGTAAGAGAATAATTTTTCTTTTGATGATATGTTTTTAATTATATGGTAAAACTAATCTTAAAATAGTGTTATTGATTATCTTTCTAGATAATTTACCTTATTTCACTGCATAATCATGCCACCACATTAATGTATATTCAGTAGTATTCCATGCATCCTAATCTTGCACCAAAGACAGTGCAGTATTAAATGATTTTTAAGTAATTACACTACTGAAAAGAAAAAGGTTTACATAATGGAACAACCAGAGACATGAAAAATTGTGCTTTATATGTGTACTATGAATTGAAATGCATTCTGCTGTCATGTATAACAAATTAGAATAAATAAATAAGTTTCTTAAAAAAGCTTTACATGATAGTCACACCCAATTTTTTTGTAAATTAAAAAAAAGCTCATAAAATTGACAATCATGTGGTGAAATATGGAAAAACGTTTTTACAAGATGTGTATATATATATATATATATATATATACATATATACACACACACACACACACACATAACAATTTGAAATTATTTAATGCATATATTATGCAATGGGTTTCTATTTAGTTTTTACTTTAAAGTATATCGTATAGAGTTTTCTTCATCGTAACCATTTGTAAGTATGGAGTTTAGTAGTGTTAGATATTCACATTGTTGTTTAACAGGAGTTTCTTCTATTGTATTTCATAGTAGTTCATGCACTATAGTTTATTTTCTCTTACCATTTTGCCAGTCTTCTTGCTCTTAGAGTAAATGTTGGGTAGAATATATTTCGTATGTGTATTTGTCTTTTGTATGTATAATATTTCTCTAGTGTGTGCACTGAGAAATAGAAATAGTTTGAAAGGACTGTCCTTTTAAAAACTTCAGTAGTGAAAACTACATTCTTAGAAGACTCCCATGAACAGTGTATGCTATGCTGCGTATACCTGTTTTCCCAGTCCTTTTCATATTTGTCTTTTAAAATTTTTTGTCAATTTTGACATTTTAATGCCTCTCCCATGAATACTAATGAAACTGAACATCTTCTCATAATGTGTTTGTAAGGAACATCATTTTATTTGTTTTCTCTATTGTGAATTGCTTGTCCTTCCCATTCTCCCTTTTCCTCTTGGGATGGTTTATCTTTTCTTATTATTTTTAGGATGTGAGTTCTTCAGATATTCTAGATATTAACATTTTGCTCCTTTCATTGCAAATATTTTTCTTCTGCTGTTTTGATTTCTGCTTTAAATTTTCATAGTTTTTGTGTGGTCACCTTTTCCCTTGTAGTTTTAGTTCTGAGGTTTGTTTAAGAAAGGCCTTTAGGGACTGGGGTTATGGCTCAGTGGTAAAGCGCATGCCTAGCATGCATGAGGCACTGGGTTCAATCCCCAGCACCACATAAAAATAAACAAATAAAATAAAGGTATTGTGTCATCTACAAATAAAAATTTTAAAAATGGCCTTTATCAGTGTTACAGATCTGTTTGGTAATATGTTTTTCAGCTTCCTCATAGTTTTATTTTTGTTTTACAAATAGCTTTTTATTTTCCTCACAATTTTTCAAACATTCTAAAATAATGATTGAACATTAGTTTTTAATGGATAGCCAATTATTCTAGCATTACTTATTAAATAATAGTAAGTCTTATTCTTAAACAACCTCAAAGATGAGAATAAACCTCTAGTAAAATGTCTTTGGAGATGTCCGAATTCTATAGAGCTTTGACATAATGTGGGTGAAGTTTGTTTATATTTTGGTGGGATTAGGAAAAAACAATTAAGAGAAGGAAATGTTTCGTTTTGCTATAAGCAAAATATTTGATGATGTCAGTTGCAGTACTGGAAATGATTCTGTGTAGTCTAGGTGGAAATTAGGTGTGGTTGTCAGTTTCTTGAACATGGCACTTTTATCACTGCATTGGCTCAGTTGCAGCACTAAAAAATGTATTGAGAGTTATTTGTCCAATCTCACATAATGTGAAGTGTCACTTAGTGTCTAAGAATCTAATTTTGGTAGATTGGCAGAAACTGTATAATTTCTAAGATTGCGATCTTGGTAACTCTAAAATAGATGTACTCTTTTCCATAATTTCTGAGGAATGTAGTGTAGCCCAAAATTATATTTATCATGAAAATATACATACATTCCTTTTAAAAAATTTTTTATTAGTTATTGATGGACCTTTATTTATTTATTTGTTTATATGTGATGCTGAGAATTGAACCCAGTGCCTCACACATGCTAAGTAAGCACTCTACCACTGAGCCACAATCCCAGCCCATGAATATATACATATATTCTATGTTTACAAATTTACAGTAGTTTTGCTAGAATATTTTAATATTTTAGTTTTTGTTATTTAAAAATTTTTCCCCCTAGTTTTGTTGTATTGTGTTTTGTTATGGTGCCGAGGATCAAACCCAGGTCCTCATATATGCCATGTTGTATCAGTGAACTACATCCCTAGTGCCTATGCTCTGTGGAAGTATTAAGTTCCAAATAAAATCGTTGATTTTATTTGGAACTTGAACTTATACATGGAACTTATACTTAATGAGGAAATATATAAGTATATACTTATATACTTTGTCAAGTGACACTTGACAAAGGTACCCAAAACATACGTTGGAGAAAAGGCAGCCTTTTTAACAAATGGTGCTGGGACAACTTGGTTTTCATATGTAGAAGAATGAAGAGATGTCTTACACATGATGATTTAAGACATGTACATTTTGTAACGTGATTATCATAATCAAGTTAGTTAACACTTTATTTAGTAGACATTTGAGTACTTTAAATGTGTAGTTTTCAACCAGGGAGGGGGTTGAATGTGCTCCATCAGGGAAGCTTTGGTAGAATCTAGAGGCATTTTTTGGTTGTGACAACTGGAAAGGAGGAACTAGTGGCATCTAGTGGGTAGAGTTAAGGGCTGCTGCTAAATATCCTGAAGTACACAGGATAAACAAGTCACACGGGAAGTATCTGGTATGATATGTCACTGGTGCAGTCTGTGAAACCCTGCTTATAATAATGAAAATAGTCATTTTTGTAGGAACAGTTTGAATGTATGAGTTTGTAATCTTTCTGTCACTTAGGTAAATATTTATTGGTAACTACAGTAGGACAACTTGCCTTTCCTTTGCTATCTTGATAAGCATTGGTTAGCATTTAAATGATTTCCTCCTGAAATGCCAGCTTGTTTTTATTTTGTGTTTCCTGTTTCAGAGAAGATATTTTCATTTCAGGCATACTTCTTTTTTACTAGAAATGGTAAAGATATACTTCATAACTCTGAATTTAAAGTTATTCACTAAAGAATATAAAAATGTGCATTGAATTTCAATGTAATGTTAACAGGTCTGTTCCACTCAGAAAATTAAATGATTTTACATTTTGTTGTTAATCTTCAAAAAACTCTTCAGTAGCTTCCATTTTTACTTCTTTACATAGTTTTTGATGATGGTGATGAGAAGACACTGAGACGGTCTTCACTGTGCCTGAAGGGAGAGAGGCATTTTGCTGAAAGTGAAGTAAGTAGTGACCATATGATGAATGAACATCTTAATATCTTGTGTTGAGGGGTAAATTTTTGCTTCCTTAATCAATCTACTTATTAATCAGGAAAATTTATTAATATATGGTATTATTATAATGCCATCTGTGAAACGTGTTTATGGGCTTGTTTTTGAGCACCAATTTCTGTTGTCCTGGTTGTTCAAGTATTTTCGTGTTAATATGGTAAGCTTGTGTAATTATCTTTAGGTCACTTTTATATACATTTCTTTAACTTGTCAATAATTATAAAAAAGAGATGTCTGATTTATTGCCCACTTGAATTCTGTCAAGAGTAAATGATGTGTAAATACTAGCAACAGTCCCTACCTATGGCCAATCAACTTTGTCAGAGCCTCACCTCAAAGAAGTCTTACCAGACTGCCCTTTTGAAAATAGTCTCCCCCATTCCTCTTCATCCTTTTAGGTTGATTTAGTTTTCTACATGACACTTATTCCCTGACTTCAAAATATGTATATGCACTTAATATTTTGTTTATTGCCTGTCTTCCTTACAAGAGTGGGGACTTTGTGTCATCTTTACTACTTTGTTCCTAGTTTCTTAACACTGCCTGGCACAGAGTGGGAACTGAATAATTGTTAGTTATGTGAATAAATGAAGTGTTTTATAATTCCCAGAGACTTTGCTAAGAGATCAATATATGTTATCACATTTGCTACATTATATAATAGATACTATTATTATCCCCAACTTATAGGTGAGGAAACTGATGACTAGAACAGGCTAAACCATTACTTTTCTAGCACCAAAGCCATACTCTTCATTTTAAAGTTGTATCATGAATGCAGGGTTTGTCCCACACGGATACATGCATATGACATTTGACAAAGGTGCCAAAAACATACATTGCAGAAAAGGCAGCCTTTTAAACAAATGGCGCTGGGACAACTTGGTATCCATATGTAGAAGAATGAAACTAGACCCTTATCTCTCACTCTGCACAAAAATCAACTCAAAATAGAAACTATGCAACTTTTGGAAAGAAAAATGTAGCATCAATACTCCAACTTTTAGACACAGACGACGACTTTCTCAGTAGGACCTCAGACACTTAGGAAATAATTACAAATGTTAATAAATGGAATAGCATCAACTGAAATAGCTTCTGCACAGCAAAGGAAACAATTAGGATTGTAAAGAGAGAACCTACAGAATGGGGATTAATTATAATAAAGAGCTCAAAAATTTTACATCAAAAAAAATTAAATAACCCAATTAATAAATGGGCAGATGAATTAAACAGACTCCTTAAAAGAGGAAATACAAATGGCCAACAAATACATGATAAAATGTTCAATAATATTGGCAATTAGCAAAATGCAGTTCAAACCTAGACTGAGATTATATCTCATATCATTAAGAGTGGCAGTCATCAAGAATACAAATAATACATGCTGGAGAGGCTGTTGAGAAAAAGGAATACTTTTACACTGTTAGTGGGACTGTAAATTAGTACAATCACTATGGAAATCACTGTGGAGTCTTTTCAAAAGGCTAGACATGGAACCATGGTATGATCCACTGTACCACTTCTCAGAATTTACCCAGAAGAAATAGCCATCTTACTATAGTGACACTTGCTGACCCATGTTTATAGCAGAGCAATTCACAGTAGCCAAACCATGAAACCAGCCTAGATGTTCATCAGTGGATGAATGGATAAAGAAAATGTGGTATACATACATAATGGAATTTTAGTCAGCAATAAAGAAAAATGAAATTATGGCATTTGCAGGAAAATGGATGAAACTAGAGACTATAATGTTAAGTGAAATAAGTCAAACTCAGAAGGTTAAGGGTTGTATGTTTTCCCTCAGACGCAGAAGCTAGAAAGGGAAAGAAAGGTGGGGGTGGATCTCATAGAACTCAGAGAGATCAGTAGAGGAAAGGATAGGGGTGGGAGAAAGTGCTGGGGAGTGATATTGGCCAAATTACGTAGTTATACTGTGTGCATATGTGAATATGTAACAATAAATTCCATAAATATGTACAACTATAATGGACCAATAAAAAATATGTGGGGGAAAAAAGTGAATGCAGGGTTTGCAAAGTTGTGCAACTCAGTAGCTTGCTATTAAAAATTTGAGATGTTATTAAAATGGTGTTATATTTCTAGCCCTGTCTATATATATTGATTGATGTACAGCGTGGCCAAACTGTAGTTTATTTTTACTAGTCACCATTTGGAACAGTGTTTCTTTGGGGACATACCTATTAAACTGTTAGACTTCATAGGGTTTCTTGTTTAGTTTTGAAAATATTTTTTGCTTCCTCAGTGACTGAATTCCCATTTAAATTTAGAATTTGGAACAGGTCCTCTGTATTATGATTTCATCTCATTTTACTATTTCCTGTACTTCTGCCTTTGTTAGATTTCTTGGTATTTCTAAATTATGTTTTGTATTTTTCTTTTCTTGGTTCCTGCAGAGCCCTGCTCCTCTGTTTGTTGGAATTTTCCCTTATTTCTTAATCCCACTAGAAACGATTCCTCCTCTATGATGTCTTTGATGAGTTTTCTACCCAAATTTGTTCTCTTTATCCTTTGAATCCCTTGGCACTTTCCTTGTTTATCCTTGTTTTATGGTCTTTTCTTTATGAGATTATAGCTGTTTTAGGGGAGTAACCCATGTTTTCCTCATCTTGATAGGCCTTCCTTTTCCCAGCAGTGCTTCCTACACATTAGCTTTCAATACATTATGTGTGGGGCCTTGAAGTTTTAAAATCAGGAGAATTTTAAGTCAGAATAAGACAGATGTAGATTGAAGTATTATGAACAAGTACCTGAGTATCCTTTATACCTTCGGGGAGGATCTGTTTTACCTTGTATGTTTATGCAGCTGTATACTATTATGTTTTGCAAGAGGAAAATCAGTACACTGGTATGATTCCTTAAATCCTTCAGCATGCCAGGAGCTGCTGTGCTAAGGATTCAGAGTGAACCATGTAGACATGGAATTTATACTTAGATAACATCTGTTGGAGGGGGAAAACATTCATTAATCAAATAATTTTAAAATCTGAGTATATTAAGCCCTGTAGAGAGATGGTCAGGAATGTACATAGGGGAATTTAAATTGCCATCTATATATACTCTTTTCCCTTGGATATATATTTTTGGTACCCAGATTGAACTCAGGGGTACTCAACCACTGAGCCATATCCCCCAACCCTCTTTTGTATATTATTTAGAGACAGGGTCTCACTGAGTTGCCAAGTGCCTCTCCATTGCTGAAGCTGGCTTTGAACTCAAGATCCTCCTGTTTCAGCCTCCTGAACCGCTGGGATTACAGGCATGTGCCACTGTGCCTGGCTGCCTTTGATATTTTTGATACTAAAAATGCTTTAGCTTTTTGAACAGCTATTTGGAGTAGTATCAGTATCATTTTTGCCTTGGGAAGGATGTTATACTATACCAACAGTATTTTCGTTAATTAATGCCATTAATATAGTGTGTACTTCACAACAAAATCATAAATTTGAGATTTTCATGATGAGAACAAAAGTACCTCAGTCATTTCAAATTCCCACTCTGAAATTGCTGGTCCAGTCATAATCAGCTTATTGAGCATGTTAAATGCTGCTTAAAAATCGGGGTATTTCTACAGAGCATTCATACTTTTGTATATTATCTGAAAGCAGATTTTTTTATCTGCTTTGCTCTCTGTGTATTTACTACATGCAATTAAAAACTCTATCAAGAAGATTAGATAAAATTCTAGTCCCCTATTTTCTGCATCCCATTTTAGGGAAATAGACATTTCTTTCTAGACATGTGGGATTTTCTGTGTGCCTATAGCTTCCAAGAGTCTCTGGTGTTTACTCTTTAGATATGACACAAAGCAGATGCTATCTTTCTACCAGTCTCTTTTGTCCCTTGAATAAAGATACTACTCCTTTTTTGGACGTGGATTGAGGCTATGACAGAGATATTGCTGTTTACTGTTATAATTCTTCATTACATACCAGAGAAAGATTGTAGTTTCTTAATTGAAAATTACTGTAGTGGAATTGGTGGCACATGCCTGCCTATACTCTCAGCAACTCTGACATCTGAAGTCAGAGGATTACAAGTTTGAGGACAGCTTAGGCAACATGGACCCTGTCTCAAAATAAAAAATAAAAAGGGCTGAGGAGGTAGCTCAGTCATAAGTGCCCATGGGTTCAGTCCCTAGTACTGGAAAAATTTTAAAAAGGAAAATTACTATATGTAATTCCTAAACAACTCTTCAGAAATTTTCTCCCTGTGAAAAGTGAAATGACAAACAGATTCTTAAAATAGAAATCACAACACATAATAAAAATCTCTTCTTTCAAGAAAGCAGCCTTAGTTTTTGTGGAGGGAGAGAAGCATTTAATCTAGCTCTCAGCTTGGCATAAAGTGAGTCCAGAGCATTTTTTTCCCCCTGTTTATCTAATGGAGTACTTTGAAATTTTCACTCTTCAGAAATATAATTAGTAGTTAAAAAGTAACTTCTAAGGACTTTCTGTTTGGCAAATATTGTGTTTGGGATGGCTTTGGTCTCTAAACAATACTTTTCAAATACCTGTTTCATTTGTACAGAGTATTACAAATAGCTCCTCTATGCTCTACCAACCTTAACAGCTGTTATTTACTTCCAGTTTCTCCCTGTGTATATCTTGGTGGTATATTCAGAATGGAAATAGTCCATAATCTCTATCAGCCTTTGTACCAACTTAATTTGAAAGATGAGGGTTTTTTTTTGCCCTATAAAAATTAACAAATTTTCCTAACTTGAGGGAATCAGTCTTTTTGTAATTCTTTATGGCTGGTACCTTTTTCTTATATACCATATTCTTTGTTGTTGGATGAATATCTAGATATCTTAAACACATTTACATATATTTTAATGGATCATACACATAAGATTATTAATATGCTTTCCCTTTCACAGTTCAGTTTATCATTATTTTCAGTAATGTTACCTCAATTTAAAAAATGGAAGTCAAAAATTTCTTTTTAAATTTAGCATTGTTTGTTTAGATGCCTGATATTTAAATCAGAGTCGATGGATACCTTTTATTATACTCTCTTGATTATAACCTTAAGAAGTCTATACTGTGCATTTACTACATGCAATAGTTCCTCACCCTTATGTCCATCCTGACCATTTTCCCAGGAATCCCTTGTTTTCTTGGTGCTCATAAAATTATCTCCAATAGCAAAGGACACTGAAGGAAAACTAGCCATGGAAGTCTCAAAAAGAGTTTTTTGAGAGAAAAATAGTAGAGAAAGTAGGCATATTGTCAAAGTTGATATTGAGAGAGTCAAGTTTAATATCTTTGAATTGATAGATAGCATTTTATGTCAAATCTTTTCAGGAAGTAAAGGCCAGGCAAATTGTAAGAAAAAATTTTTTGAGATATCTAATACTGAGAAAGTTAGGGCAAAAACCAACAAAACAAACAACAAGAAAGACTAATTTTTTCCTCCCCTCCTTCTGTCTTCAACCATCAGTCTTTTCCTGGAAATCATTACTTTTGGAAGGGGGTGAGGGACTTTGGTTGATGTGAACTATGCACTTGATAATAAGAAAGAAATGTTCATTTATTGGTTGACATTTTCATATGAAGTATCATGATATTAGCTGCTGAAGATTAAAGAGGAAAGGAAAATAAATTTAGAAAAACTAATGTTTTAGTTTTCTTTAAAATACTTATATTTTCCAAATAATCATACAGCTTCTCTGAAGTCCATTTCAAAGCAGTTGGTGCTTATCTCCATAGTTAACCTGTGTTTGTGTTACTTGTTAATCATTTTATGAATTATAATTCCATATGTACAAGGGAAAATTTGAGCTATAGTACACACCCACCTAAGAGTTTGATGGGTATTTTACTTCTCGCATTCATATTCCCTGAGTTATTTTTTAACTTTTTCTTGTGTTTTAATCATTCTGAGATGCCTGTCAACCTTCTAATAGGTATTAAGTCATCTAGACAGAAGAGCCAATTTTTTTTTTCATTTTTTCCCCATTAATGGTCTCATTCATCTTGATTCTAATATCTTTGAAACTAGAATTTTCTATCTTTAGGAAAGTTGTGTTTTAGGTTTTAGCCTTCCTTGGGGAATAATTTATTCTCGCAATCTGAGCATAATCTTAAACTGATTTGGTTTAAAAAGAAAGCATTTGCAAAGTAATAACTTGTGATGGGTTTATGTTCTTACCCACAGACATTAGACCAGCTCCCACTCACCAACCCTGAGCATTTTGGCACTCCAGTCATAGGAAAGAAAACAAATAGAGGAAGAAGATCTAATCATATGTAAGTCCATTTTCATACCTGTAGTTGAATCTGAATTCATTTCTCCTAATATTGTTTTAATAGTTCTTATTTTTAAATTGTAATTTGCAGAATGCTAATGAGATCAAATAGTAATTTTAGATCTAATACTGCTTTCAAACTGCTCAGCATGGGTAATTGAGCTCCTCTATGCTCTACCAACCTTAACAGCTGTTATTTACTTCCAGTTTCTCCCTGTGTATATCTTGGTGGTATATTCAGAATGGAACTAGTCCATAATCTCTATCAGCCTTTTTTTGTTTTTTTAATCTCTAGTGCCTCCTTCCACGTCACTGTCTTGCTCATTCTTTCTCAACAGAAGTGCTACTTGCTTTATGTAAACCATTTTGTGTCTCCCTATTTTTTTCTTGAAACCAGACATGCCACATATTGTTGGAATATATTAAAAATAAATATTGAGTTAATTTTTAAAAACCTTCAGTGTAAGTGAATGCTTTCATTCAAGTGTTGAGTCAGATATTAATTCTAATTGTGGCTGAGCATTGGAGATAGTTGGGTAGGCGCTCTCTCTAATTATTTAATTTCAGCCTTACAGCAACTCTTTAAGATAGGTTATCCTTATTAAAATTAAGAAAATAAACCTAAGAGAAACGAAATATCTAATCCAAGGAATAGAGGAAGAACCAGGACTTGAACTCACCCTTACTCCGTAAGCCTTTTCCTGTTCAACTAAGGGACTCTTTCCTTAGAGTACTTCAGTTACTGCACAAATTATGTGTAATATTAAATAAATATTCATTTGAGGGAGAAAATTAGAAGACACTATTGTATTGAAAAAGATACTTAATGTTACTCATTTTCCTACCATGTCTGTGATTAGTTACCACGTGAATAATTTCTCTGACTAGTGACTTAGATTACTGGTTATTTGAGTATTTTTAGGATACTCAGTTGTAATTGTTAACTTATTTATATGTATGACATTTAAAAATTGAGACAGAAAAATAAATTAAAAATATATAATAGCATTATTAGTATGAAAGACCTCTGTCATGAATATTAGCTGTTACTGTGATGTGATAATGTATTCAGTTTTTCCAGAGGACTATTAGGTTGCCATAAGGTATTTTGAAGCACTTGGTTTGTGATATCTTTGGATGTCTCTTTGAAAATTAATGACTTTAATTATGAATTAAGATCTTATATATCACTGATCATTATAGTCTTCCTCTAGTTCTCTACTCAACTTTTTTTTTGTAGACTTGATGTTTCTTTCTTTTTAAAAAAATATTTATTTTTTTAGTTGTAGTTAGACACAATATCTTTATTTTATTTATTTATTTTTATGTGGTGCTGAGGATGGAACCCAGGGCCTTGCACATGCTAGGTGAGCCTTCTACCGCTAAACCACAATCCCAGCCCTTTACTCAACTTTTAATTATGATTTATGATGTCAGAGTAGTGAGTTAGGTTCATGAAATTTAAGATTATTTTTTTATTGATGATGGCTGGGGCTTGAATTCTAACTCTCCCACTTTTTTGCTATGTGATATTTAACAGGTTACTGAATCTTTTCATGTCTCAATTCTCACCTATAAAAATTGAGATATTAGTATTACTTATTTTTTAGATTTGTTATGGAAATTGAATTCATATCATGGATGTGTTAATATAGTAAGTACAAACAGAGCATCTCTTATCCAAAATGCTTGGGACTGGAAATGTTTCAGATTTCAGAGTTTTTCAGAGTTTAGATTATTTGTGTAGACTGTACTGGTTAAACATCCAAAATTCAAAATGCTCTCATTTCAGAGCATTTTAGATTTGGGATGGTCACCCTGAAGTAGGTAAATATCATCATCATGTTATTTACCTGAAGAAAAAAAATTCATGATGAATTGGTAGTGTATCATCTGAATTCATTATATATGAAAATATGTTTATATGCATGTATATAAAAATTCTTCTTACTAGTATTTACATCTAATAGGCAAGTATTGTTTTTTGCTGCATTATCTTCACTTTTTAAAAAAATATATATATTTTTAGATGTATTTGGACACAATACCTTTATTTTTACATGTGCCTCACATGTGCTAGGTGGGTGCTCTTCCACTGAGCTACAGCCCCAGCCCTAGCATTATCTAAACTTTTAACAGCATTCACATATATCTTAGGAAAAATAGTTTTTTATACATCTCAATTTTTTTCCATTTTGAAAAAAAATGTTTATAGCATACTTTAAATTTTAAATAGATATATTATGGAGTACCATTTAGACTGATGTACAAAAATGATCAAAAATTAGAATCTATTAAAAAGTCTGTTAGGTTTGTTAGCTGAGTTGTCCCTTTCTTGAATATGAGAATAAAGTATGTAGGTGCTGTGGTACAAGTTGATCTTTGCTTTTTAAAGACTCTAGCAAACATTCTAAGTCAGAGGTTTTTCTATTAAGAATCTCTGTGTTTAATGAGAGATTTGCCTTGGGATTGTATTGTACACACGCCAAGTATGAAGACAGATAAAAGATTGAGAATTGCTTTTCTAGGGGATAAATCCCATTTTGATCTGTGATCTTGTTTTGCTTGCTGTTTCTTCCCCTTTACTAGTGAGGTTGGTCATTCTCACTGCCAAGGGACCTGAACATGTTGTGCTTGCTTAGTGTTTGGAACCATGGTGTGTAAGCATCATGAACAAGTACCACAGTTTGAATTACCCACATCCTTCAATCTAATTCCTCAAACTTCATTCTCCTGTCTCTTCCAACTCATTCTCTACACAAAGTCTTAGATCTGGATCTCAAGACTGCTCATCTGACCTTCATTTGCTATTTTTAATACTCTACTAAAAAACATCTTCATTGTGGTTCTCTGATTGCTGTTTAAAATGTATTTTTGTACAAAGATAAATAAGATTGTCTCTTTACCAGAATTCCATTGTTGTAATAATCTATCACTACCTTTGTTTTCTTTTAGCAGCTACTAATGTACATACCACCAGTTAATGTGCCCCCTGTTATTCCAGAATTATTTTTGACATATTTCATTTAATCGGCTTTCATTTATGTTCTACCTTTAATTCTAATAAGTTCAACTATTTTCTTTTTAACAATGATCATCTTCTGTCATTAATTTTTTAAAGTAATTAATTGATCTTTTTAATTAGCATGTATGTACCCAATGTGGCAGACATAATTTTGTAATGCCTCCCTTTCCCAGTTTTTTCCGATAATTTGGCTAAAGAATATGTGCACTTGTAATAGTAGGAAAGCAGTCTACTTGCTGTTATCTTTTTCTCCTTCAGAAGTAATGATTCTTGCTAACAAGGAATTATTTGTGAGTAAATGTTTTACCCAGTGACAGTGCTAAGATTAACCTGATGAACTAATGATTTAACTTGGTATTTACAGGTCTACAGATCTTACCACATTTTTTATGGATACATAATTCACACACCATAAACTTCACCCTTTTGAAGTATACGGTTAGTGATTGTTAGTATATTCACAGAATCACACGGTTGACACCACTGTTTAATTCCAGAAGTGTTTTTACTCCTTTATTTTTGAAATGAAAATTGGATTCTAGTTTCCTTCATAACTCTTCTTTCTTTCTTATGTTTGGCAGTGTTGGGGATTGAACCCAGGGCCTCACACATGCTAGGCAAATGTTGTACTTGAGCTGCATTCCCAACTGTAGTTTCCTTCTTAATACAAATTGAGAAGAAAATTGGAACACTTTTCTTTTTTTAAATTGTTCAAACTCTTTTAAGTGCATAAGTCCATATATTCCATATTTCTCAATATCTAAGACCTGTTATACATTCTCAGTTTTCATGGTACTATATAGGCTTTTAATTTACAACATCCAAAGTATGAAATGGATATTGACTAGCCTGAAATAATAAAGGATCATTGAATTTGGAATAGCATTTCAAAGACTGATCCTCTGAAATTCCTAGCCCAGTTTTTCATTTGCATCTTACCATTTGCCTTTCTTTGGCCCACGTCTTATCTGAAGTTCTTTCTAGATTTACAACTTATTTAATAGTGATGTGCAATCATTTTTGAGTATTTATTATAGTATTATGGTAAATATGAAATACTTTGTTTCCAGTGGCATCAGATTTTATTTCATAGAGGCAGAGCATTATTTTTTTAATATTTTTTTTAGTTGTAGATGGACACAATATCTTGGTTTTTTTATTTTTATGTGGTGCTGATGATCGAACCCAGTGCTTCACGCGTGTGAGGCAAGCACTGTACCACTGAGCTATAGCCCCAGCCCAGGGCATTATTTTTTTGTGACTCTATTAATAAGTACTTTGCCACTGAAGAAAAAACAATGTCGGAGGTGAACAGAGACCAAGTAGGCTCTTTAATTGCTCTGTCTCCTCCACCCCACCTTGCCATACGTCTATAGTGTAGTGCTGGGCATGGAACCCACATGATGGGCAAGTGCTCTACCATGAACCAAAACCCTAGTCTTTCTCTCTCTCTCTCTCATATACACACACACTCACACATACATACATACACACACACACACACATATATTTTAAATATTTTTAGTTTTAGATGGACACAGTACTTTATTTTATGTATATGTGGTGCTGAGGATCGAACCCAGTGCCTCACATGTGCCAGGCAAGTGCTCTGCCACTAAGCTACAACCCCAGCTCTCTTTATATATTTTTAATGCTCATTTATTTTAGTTCATCAGTTTATTGAGTACTTGCCTTACATAAACAATTTCCTGGCTAAGTTCCTCTAAAAGGAAGTATGAAAGGAGCTATGGGCATAATTGTATAATTTACACTGAATGTATATATTTTTTGATTTAAGAATAAAGTCAGAATTACCATAGTAGAAAGAAGGAAGTCTTTTCATTTATTTCATCAAATATTTATTGCTGTGCCAAACACTGTTGAAATACTTCAGATTGTTTCAGTGAAAAAAAAACAAAAAACAATTATTTAAAAAATTCTCTGCCTTTAAACCTTATATTTTCTTAATGGAGGAGTTGGACAATATGTAAATTATACAATAGTAGAGCAGGGTAAAGGGAGATGGAGGGGGTGAGCAGGTTGAAAACTTGAAGGAGGTAGGCAAGGCAGCCTTACTGAGGGGACATTTTAGACTCAGATGGGTATTTATCAGTTTTGAGGGGAGGATCAAAAAGACATGAGAATAAGGTAAGAGGGGCTGGAGAAAAAAATGAGATTAGGATTTTTTCTTTTTTTTTTAATTTATTTTTTAGTTTGTAGTTGAACACAGTACATTTTTTTAATTTATTTATTTTTTTGTGATGCTGAGGATCGAACCCAGGGTCTCCCAAGTGCGAGGCGAGTGCTCCACCGCTGAGCCACAACCCCCAGCCGAGGATTTATGTTTTAAGATGAGAAAAATAACAGTAAATTGATGTTACTGAATCTAATAGAGGCAGAAAAAATGGATACCAGAGAGTGGAGGATTCATGGTGGGAGGAAATGTTGAGGAGAGGATAAGGATGAGGTTGATCTAGACCAACAAAGGTTTTTTTTTTTTTATAACTTTGGGGTGTGAAGTCTTCATACTTGTTAAGTCTGAAGAAGCCAGAATTTTGATAGAGAAATTTGCTTGCCCAATAAAGCTCAGTTTTCTATATTTTACAGATTTTCATATGTATATTTTATATGGTGATGGGATTTTCTAGCTTGCTAATGATATAAAGGGCATACACAAACTCTGATATTAGTATGAGAGTTCAGTGACTTTTTTTGAATAGCGATATTGATGGTGTTAAGTTTGGTTGTGCTTTATATTTATTAGAGGGTGGAGAGATTAAAGTCATTGCCCTTCAGAATCTCTTCTACTGAAGGAGAAATCAGACTTTGGAAATCTGTAATCATTATAGTCCAAGTTGTGTGCCCATATGTATAGTCTCATGCTCTGGTAATAAACAGGCTTGTTGAGATTTTAGGTTTCTTTCTACCTGCTTTCTAAGTGGGCATTAATCTCAAGTGCTATTTGAAATACAGGACTTTACTCTATAGCCGACTTTGCTTTGTTATTTACTTGGCTGATTGTTAGAGTCAAATTTTGTTATTCCCATGTCACTCAGATTATTATAATATTTTTTGCTTTGTTTATATTCATATTGAAATTTATACATGTAAAGAGATGTTGTAACCCCTTTGGGAAGATATCAAAGATAATTTCAGAATGTACTGGACTTGTCCCAATCAACCAAATAGATAAATCACTTTAAAATTTGGTGTTGTTTTTGGTGCCATGGATGAAGTGAAGGGCTTTAGCATGCTAAACAGGTATTCTGCCAAACCCAATCATGTTTGAAGTTTTAAAGTAGTAAATCTGTTAGCAAGTACATTGACAAAAAAAAAAAGAGTAAACTATCTCAGATGTTTTCATCATTGTATATATTCAGTGCTAGATATTATTCTGTGTTATAAAAGAGCATATTTTATATTTATTTTACATAAAGAACATATTTTCATGTAGTCAAAATTTCTTAGTGTCCTTTCTTATTCTGGGCATTTTGAGCAGTCATAAATTTTTTTGTTAGCACCGATTGTGAACTTTCTTGCAACCAGGTATAAGGTAGAATTTTTTTTGTTTTACGTTTTGTTCTGTTTTTCTTTTTGAAATTTGCTTTTTACTTTATTTACCTCGAATATTGATAGCATAGCATCTGGTTTTAGGTCCTTTCTTTTTCTTCTGTCAGTTAACAGTTTTCTAATTTACTAGCCCAATATTGTGTGTTACTATATACATCTTTAAAACATAATACAAAAGAACCATATAGAGTTTATGAATTCCTATTTTTTGTTGGATACTAAGGATAGCAGTTGGTGATCTCTTACCAGATTGCCTCCTCTCCCCATTCTAATCTCTACTTCATAAAGATCTGCAGGTCCTTTTTTAAAATTTAGCTTTATACTGGGAATGTAATATGACTTTCTCTGGAACTCCTAAAATCTGAGATTGGGATCTAATATACATATATTTTTATTTATTTGTAGTTGTAGGTGGACAGAATGCCTTTTTAAAAATTTGTTTATTTATACGTGGTGCTAAGGATCTAACCTAGTGCCTCACATGTGCTAGGCAAGCGCTCTTCCACTGAGCTACAGATCCAGCCTGGGATCTAATATATTTTAGTGTAGTATTGAGATATTTAATAGGGGCCTTCAAATTTGGGGGGATTTGGGGTCCAGTTATTCTGATCTGTTGTTCCCCCTTAATCTTTTAAAATAGTAGTAAATAAATTTGAAAGAGTTTTAGGAATTTGATGTGCTTTTCTTTGAAGATAAATTCTGTTGCTCTTTAGAAAGTTAGGAAACTTTAGGAAATCTGATAAAAGGTCTGAAACACTATATTCATCATTGGCCTGTTTATTCTTTCTAAAGATAAATGGAAATATCTTACTTTTTTTTTTCTCTAGACCAGAGGAAGAGTCTTCATCATCCTCCAGTGATGAAGATGAGGATGATAGGAAACAAATTGATGAACTACTAGGCAAAGTTGTATGTGTAGATTACGTTAGTTTGGATAAAAAGAAAGCACTGTGGTTTCCAGCATTGGTGAGTAGTTTCAACATTGAAGAATCTAATTTTGAAGTATGTAATTTATGAGGAAAAGAATGGATTTTCTTACTGGTGTTTGTCATAGATCCACAATGAAATGTTTCTAACATCAAGTTCACACAAAGATTACTTTCAAAATTGTTTTTAAGTACAATGATTTCTTGATGACATCTAAGAAAATAAAAATTTGATGATCTTAGAAGTTAGGTATATGACAGTTACTTATATCGCTCTATTTTAGGTAGAAAATTAATAATGCAAACGTGTAAAACTCCAAATCTACCATGAAGTATTGACTGAAAAAGAGAAAACACTTTCTTCGTTGACATCCATTTTCCCCATACCTACTGGACCAGGGCATTTGCTTAGATCTTAATCTTGCCTTTTTGGTACTTCCTGGATAATCATAACTGCAGTTACGTATTACCCAGTCTCTGACTTTTTTTATAGTGAATTCTCTTATCTACCTACTCCTTCATGTTTTCTCTCAAATTACAGTTCTGTAGGTTGACTATGTAGAATTTTCTATTTTCATTATCTTTCTGAAATTCTGAGAAGATAGTGCTTCATCATCAGGAGTATCCTGATTATTTTTTTCCTAGTTCCATGCAGCTCAGCCAGCGATGGCAGATGACAGAAAGTCTTTTGAACTTCATTTCATTGGTGTTGTTAACCACTGGCCTCTGTAGCAAGTTGGAGGTGTTCTGTATAAGAGTTTTTGCTTTGTTTTGTTTTTCAGCAGTATTGACGATGGAACCCAGGACCTCTTGTCTGAGAGGCATGCACTTTGTCATTGAACTACTTCCCCAACCTCAGATAATTTTTCTTTGACTTTTAGAAAGAAAACACATATCCACATACCGGTATCTTTCAAAGACTTGCTTAGGTTGGCTTTCAACTAATCTTTTGGTGGGCAGCATCATAATTTTGTAGTTCTTAAGGCAGACACAGACTTTACTAACAGTCTTGCTATACTTTAATGAAGATTTAACTCTTGTGACAGTAATACATTTTTTTCATCCTTAAGGTATAATTGGATAAGCTATTAAAAGGTTTTTTTTGGGGGTGGTCGTGCTGGGGATTGAACCCCAGGACCTTGTGCATGCGAGGCTGTCAACTGAGCTATATCCCCAGCCTAGTTATTAAAAGTTTTAAATTTCAAATAGGAGAATGAAATGAATAATCAGTATCTCTTCAGAATTATCTTGAACTCTTAAAATTTGAGTGTCTAAATTTATGGCCTCTGATGAGTTTGTCTGAAGACCATTGGTTCATTTGTGTCCCCCACACACTTCCTATTAATAGACCTTTCACCTGAAGACCTGTTGACTAAATTAAGGGTACATTGCAGATAACATTCTCACCTCTAACAACTACTTTGTTTTCAGATATCAAGAGACAGAATGGGTCAAAAATTATTCACTGAACACTGTTTTATGTTTTATTGTCCTACTAATAGAAATTCCCTAATCCTAATAATACAAATTCCTTTAGAATGCATTTTTCTTCTGCTAAAGGCATTTAGTGAAGTTTATGTGTGTTCATGGGATTCTTTTAAGCATATTTGTTAAATGTGGCACTTTTTATATGTTAAACATTGTTCAAAATGTTTTATAGGGATTGACCCATTGAATGAAGTAAAAGTTTTTTATTCTTGTGTTTAATTAATTTTTTAATTTCTCGGTTGAGAATCCACTAACCATTATTGTCATCTTGTTTTCCTTTACACTGAATACCACTTGCAGAAACTTGGAGATGGGATTAAAATACATTATTCAGTGTTTATGTGCATTTGTATAAATATATGTCCATCATATGTATAAATTTTTATACATTTGCTGTTTTAATGAACTATACTTAACCCTAGCCTCATTATTATTTCTCGAATTAAAAACAATTTTGGAGTAGAAACATCTTTCTTATGTACTATGTACTGTTGTCTACAAGTGATGACTATAATCCTTTTCAGTTTATACATTTTGTAGTCTTTATTCCAGGTGCTTAGTTCAGTGTTTGACACAAAATAAAGCACCAAATCAGTGTGAGTTTTTATAAAGAAAAATAACAAGGGTGATTCTTTGGTTTGATAAATATAAATACTTTCTGATGCCTTTATTCTCCAAATATCCATCCATCCATCCATCCATCCATCCATCCATCCATCCAGTGTTTATTGGGTGCCTATAATGTACAAGGATTGTGCTGATAAGCCTTCACAGGTACTTTGAGTATCAGTATTATTATTTCCCTTATTTGGAGATAAGGATACTGTGAATATTAACCAGAAGAGTTAAGGTCATACTTTGGACGAATAAGTAAACTGAAAATTTAAATCCCAATGTATGTGACCATTTTCTTTGTTTGTTTGTTTGTTTTTTTAATATGAGGGATTAAACCCTGGAGCACCTAAACTCTGAGGCACATCTCCAGTCCTCTTTTATATTTTATTTTGAAATAGGGTCTCACTAAGTTGCTTACGGCCTGACTACATTGCTGAGGCTGGCTTTGAACTTGCAATCTTCCCTGCTTCAGCCTGCTGGAGTTGCTGGGATTACAGATGTACACTATCTTGCCCATCCATTTCTTTGTTGTTAATGTGGTAAAATTCTTTGTACGAATTCCTTTTGAAAATATGTTTTAAAAACTGTTCTGTGTATCTTTTTCTCAACGATAAGTAGTTGTACATGTGTTTTTATTGAGATTATATTTAGCCATCTTTTAAGAGGAGGAAGTCTTAGCTTATTCTCCTTTTCAGTTTTCTTTACCTCATCAACTTTTAATGTTTGTAATTCAGAATATATCAGTGTTCCCTTTAGGGTGATACTATTCTGTTTTTATAGCTTCACCCCTAAGAAAGAAGTGTCATAGGGACCAAGAAAATAACGAACAGGATAAAATATAGATTTGGATCCTGTAACAAATCGAGTATGAACCCACTTACCTACACACCACTGACAGCACTGGCCATAGCTGTTCATTTGTGTAGGTTGCATAACCTGTAGCTTATCAAGAAAAAAAATGGGTGACTTTGGTTCATAGGCCCTATGTTGTAAAACACTGGGCTTTTGACTTCCAGATTTCTATCTTAGAATCTAGAGTTGGGCTGAACTACAGACTTGTGTATTTGCGTGTTCATTATCTTTATTCGGATATCATTTAGCTGCCTCAGAACTTAAGCCCCCAATTTACCCCTTTGTTCCTTGTTTTTCTTTCTTGTGAATGCACTGTCATTTGCATGAGATAGAAAAACCTAGTGTCCTCTTCTATTCACCTTTTACTTCTCTAATTCTATGGTTTTTCTCATTCATTTAATTTTCCATTGTTGCCACTTTCCATTCAAGCCACTGTCTCTTTCCCAGGTGATTTCAAGAGCAAAATATTTAAGTTCTTGTCTGCTATAACAGCCAAAGTGAATTTCTAAAAGGCAAATCTATGATGGCAAAACTTTGAATTAGCCTTTCTGAAGATCTTAGATTTTATCCTAGTAATTAATGCGATCAACAAGGCTCTAGAAACTTTGGATAGATCTTTACCTTAGCCCTGGTGCAGCTCTGCCTCTTTTCTCTATTCTGCTGAGAACTTTGCCTACAGCTTCATCCCCCTTTCAGCCATGCTTCTGTTTTCAACACCATCCTGTACCAAAAAAACAGTTTGAAATGTTCAGAGTTGGAAGGATGTAGAAGATCGATTTAAAGTTACGTAGGTGTGCTTACTACTCTGTAACTAAAATTGGTTTTAAACTCTTTAAGTTTAAACTAATTTTTAAAAGGATTTAATTAAAAGGCACATTTATAACTAATATGCTAATAGTCTCACACTTTTTTTAAAAGGTGGTTTGTCCTGATTGCAGTGATGAGATTGCTGTGAAAAAAGATAATATTCTTGTTCGATCTTTCAAAGATGGGAAATTGTAAGTATCATTCATTTGGTTTGAAAATCTTATCTAGAAGTACATATATGCTTTCCCCTCTCCAGTTTAAAATGTTAAGGGATGAGGGTTATTTCCAATGACCTTAGCTTTCATTTTTCACCATAGAGAATGTTTCAAAGAGAACCATTTTTCACATTAGAGATTTAAAAATTTAAACTGTGCTAGGGTTCAAACCCAGGGTCTTGCATGTACTATGGAAGACAATGGAAAATTAAACTACCACTGAGCTTTATACCCCAGCCCTTTTATTTATATATATATATATATATGGTACCAGGGATTGAACCCAGAGGTACTTAACCACTGAGCCACATCCCCAGCCCTCTTTATTTTTTATTTTGAGACAGGACCTTGTTTAATTGCTGCGGCTGGCCTTGAACTTGTGATCCTCCTGCCTCAGCCTCCTTGAGGGTTATTGAGGCAAATTTGATGTTTTTAGTACTAATAGACTTACTGACTTTTCTTTATGGTTCATTTTTGTGTGATTTGTTAGTTTTTTCTAATATTTCTAGTTAGGTCTGTTGGATAACATTTGGCTTTTATATTAGTCTGGAGGATTAAAATGGATTGCATTAGATGTATGTAACATGTGAACACAATTATTTTTCATATAGAAAAATTTTAGAGCTGAGATCTTAAAATCTGTGTGTCACCCTCCCCCCACTTTTGACTAGAGAAGCCAGGTATTTTCTTCTGAGCCTTATCTGGTATTGTCACATTTTAAGATTTGGTGTTCAGGTTTTAAAGGTTTCAAACATGATTTTTAAAAATAAAGCTATGACACACACTTATAATCCCAGTGGCTTGGGAGGCTGAGGAAGGAGGATCACAAGTTGAGGACCAGCCTTAGCAATTTAGTGAAGCCCTGAGCAACTTAGTGAAACCCTGTCTCAAAATTAAATATAAAAAGCATTGGGGATGTAGCTTAATGGTAAAGCAGCCCTATGTTTAATCCCTAGTGCCAAAAAATTATTTTTTGAAGATCTGTAATGAAATATCATAAATTATAATGCCTTGAATTTGTTTCTGAATAATCTAGTTAAGGTTGGAGGCTGTGGTAAAAATATCTGAGTGATTGAGTTTACAGTTATTGTAGTTGGATGATGGATGGATACATGTGGGTTCATGATACAATTCTGTCTACTTTTGTTTGTATTTGAAATTTTAAAAATAAGCTGGTGTGATGGTGCATGACTATAATTCCAGTTACTTGGGAGGATTGCAAACTCAAGGCTGGCCTCAGCAACTTAGTCTCAATGTAAAAATACCAAGAGTGGGCTGGGATTGTGGCTTAATGGGAGAGTGCTTGCCTGGCATGTGTGAGGCACTGGGTTTGATTCTCAGCACCATATACAAATAAATAAAATAAAAAATTTCATCAACAATTAATAAAAAATATTTTTAAAAAATGCCAAGTGCTGGGCATACAACCTAATGGTAGATTGCTTGCCTAGCATGTGCAGGGTTCTTCAGGGTTCAATCCTTAGCACCACAATGAATGAATGAGTTAAAAATGACATTCTATACATGTGTTTGGAGTAGTTTTCAGGCATTTGTAATTTGATTAACAGAAAAAAACAAATGCACAAAAGCTGAAAGATTTATTAGAAATACATGTTATCAATATCATAGAACTTGTCCTGGTTGTGTTTATCTGACCTTCCTTATGGTCAGGGAATTCCATAAATGGCCTCAGATTGCATATTAGAATTTATTTTAAGCCGAGGAACCATTGAAAAAAAATTATCAAAAGAAGATTTAGATTTAAATTGGTACAGATTCTTCTTAAACTTATTTTTATTGTTGACTTCTTTTTTTTACAGTATTCATATATTTTTGTCATCTAAACATTTTTATTTATTACTGTATCACTCTAAACAGTTTTTAGAATTCTTCTTTTCAGGCAGAGGTCTCTTTGATATCTGGAAACCAGGGATTTTTATAATATTTCTTAAGGCAGAATCCTCTCACAGATCTTCACATATTTTAACATGCTGTCCAGCATATGATTTGGGAATTGCAACCCTGTGTATAGTCACTTTCATTGTATGTGTCAATATTTTCATATATGTAGTATCTTTCTGTGGTATTTAATTGACTGAACTCCTAATCTGTCTTTTCTTTTATAATTAAATAATACAGTACTTCAGTGCCAAGAAAAGATGTTCATGAAATTACTAGTGACACTGCACCAAAGCCTGATGCTGTATTAAAACAAGGTAAAGATAATCTTGGAATGAATTGGAACTACTATAAAAAGGGCTCAAGTGTTTTTGAAGATTATGTTTTATTTTGTTTTTAAATTTTTTTGAAGTTATATCCTTAATTATATTTGATTCTATGTGATTTATACTTTTAAAATCTTTTTGGGGGGATGCCTAGTATTAGGGGCAGTATTCTGGAAAAGTGGAGGAAACTGTGTCATCAGCTCTTGACTTTTCTCCTAGTAAATGAAGTATTTGTTTCCATAGTTATAGAAAAAGGAATCAAAGTAGTTTTGATGTGTTAACTTTCAGTAACGGAATGGAGGCTCCAGTAGTTACATTTGATTGAGGAATATGCTATAATTGCATTTGTTACTTCATTGTTTGGCCTTGTAAATATTGTTATTTTGTCTTTGCCCTTATACATCAATATGCTGTGTAATCTGCCTTAAAATCATTGAGATTTTATGTTTTGTAATTAATTTCCATTTATTGTAAAAGGAGAAATGATTGTGTCTAGCTAAGTTTAGTTGAAGCTAATTGTTATACTTAGATTTAACTGGAAATGTAGAGAACATTTATGGTCAATTATCAGGTATTTCATTATAACCATGGCCCATGTGCCTTGTACATAAAACTATTTAGTAAATATTGGATAAAATATTGAATGACTGTGTTAAAGTTGTTTTCAGTAGACAAGCTTAATATCCGTTTGAGAGAAGAAAACTGTTTCTCTTGTATTTGTTTGAACCTGATAAACCTTCCAATGATATCAGTTTTGCTTTCTGTGTACAGTGGATACCATTGGCCTTGAATGAGCAGGACTGCATGAACTGCTTCATGGAAAAGCTGCCCTCAGGGCCTAGAGCTCAGCAAACAGCAAATACTTTGTAGCAACATAGTTGTGTTTATTTTTTTATCTTTTTTTTTTTTTTAAATTTACAGTTGTAGATGGACAGCATGCCTTTATTTGTTTAGTTTTTTATGTCATGCTAAGGATCAGACCCAGTGCCTCACACATGCTAGGCAAGTGCTGTGACACTGAGGTCCAGCCCCCTATTTCTTTATCTTGTTAAATATTCTTAGAGAATTTCAGTTGGCTTAATTTCTTCAAATCAATGTGATGGATATCATTATCCAAAGTACATGTATGAAGACACGAATGGTATGAATATACTTTGTATACATCAGAGAGATGAAAAATTGTTCTCTATATATGTAATATGAATTGTAATATGTTCTGTTGTCATATATAACAAATTAAAATTAAAAAAAAAAGAAAAAAAAATTCTCCAGTTCACATATTTTATGGTCTTCTTCCAGCTTTTGATCAGGCACTTGAATTTCACAAAAGTAGAACTATTCCTGCTACCTGGAAGACTGAATTGAAAGAGGATAGCTCTAGTAGTGAAGCAGAGGAAGAAGAGGAGGAGGAAGATGATGAAAAAGAAAAAGAGGATAATAGCAGTGAAGAAGAGGTAAATAAAAGCAGTTGATGCTTTAAAATTCCAAATAATAACTGGTTAGGTCTTCACATGAAGTCATTAATCACGTAAATATTTTTAGTATTAGAAATACTTCATAATAAAATTATATTTGTGAGATTCATCATAATCGTTGTTTGCTTACCTTAAAGTAGAAATATGATCTTGTGACATTAAATATATTTAGTATAGATATTCTGGTAATTCAGTAATATCTTAATCTTGCTGTGGTTTTGGTTTATTGGATGATTAATGAAATATCACCTAATACTTCAATATGTATTTCACTGCCATATACACAGGACAGCTGTCACTTCCTGAGTTTTTACTGAAATACCTCAAAAATTATAAAACATTTTTCATTATTAAAAGAAAAATCAATAAAAGTAAAATGAATATTTCTTTGATTCACATAATCTTAAATAATCTTATACGAATGGGTAGCACCTATGCATTTTTAGCTCTTGGATCCATATCCATGAACTAAAATCTTAAATTTTACTGTAATTGGTGCTTTAGGCCTAGCAATGACTGACTCTCATTAATGGTTTTCTAAACAACTTTTTAAAAATCATTTGAGTGGTGCAGATAGTGACAGGTACTATTTTTGACCATGAAGTGTGAACTGTATTTAATGCGTTTAGAAAATTAAGGTAATTTCTGTTAGTATATAATATTTTTGTGACTTATGAAACTATGCCCTTCATTTGTAGAGACTATTAATGAAATAGGAGTCTTTAGGAAGTTATATTTTAGAGTATAGTGACCTGATGCAATGGATAGTGTAAAATTTCTCTGCTTCAGTCTATTTCCTGACTTCTTTCTATTTAATAAGCTAAATGAGAAGTCAATCCCTTGCTTAAAACCTCCCACGTGGCCTTTTGCTACCGCAAAAGTAAAGCTTCAGTGTAGAGCCTCTTTTTTGGAACAACCCCTGCCATTTTTTCCTTGTCACTTCTCTTGCTACGTTCTTCCCCTTTGAACTTTACGCTCTAGCTATGTCAAAGTAGGGACCTTGCTGCATCTTTGCATATCGCAGTACCTCTGCCAGCGCCACTTTTCCTTCCTTTTCTTAGTCTCTCAGCACATTTCTGTTCAGTTTCCAAAACCCTGTTTGTGCACATTTTTGTGTTTCATTTTTGTTAATGAAAACCTGTGAACCATTGCTTTCCTCCTTTCCCCCAGGAAAGGTAATCACTCTAAACCAGTACTTTTTCTTGTACATATCTTTGCTATTTATGTGTATGTATACATACATTATATATATTTAGGTTAATAGCCTGTTTTTTATTTTTTGGTACTGGGGTTTGAATGGTTGAACACCCAGGGTTTTAACCACTGAGCTACATCCCTAGCCCTTTTTATTTTTTATTTTGAAACGGTCTGAGTTATTTAAGGTCTCACTACATTATCGAGACAGAATTTGAATTTGTAATCCTCCCACTTTACCCATTGGAGCTGCTGGGATTGCAGGAGTACGTTACTATGCCTAGCTTGCCGATTTTTTTTCTCCCCTGCTACTCTGTAAGCTCCTCAAAGATAGGGGGAGAATCCTGTCTTTCTCATTTTTTTGTACTTAGTGTTTGCCATGGTGCATAAAATTAATGGATGACTGATAAATATTAGTTACCAAATCTTTTGTTGCTAGGTTTGTGTTTTATTATAGTTGTGTGTGTGTGTGCATGTGTTTGTTTTTGTTGTTGTTGTTTTTTTTTGGTAATGGGGACTGAACCCAGGAATATTATTTTCCCAGTCCATTTTAATTTTTATTTTGAAATAGTCTTGGTAATTTGCTGAGGCAAGCCACAAATTTGCAGTCCTCTTTCTTTAGCCTCCCAAGTCACTGGGATTACAGATGCATACCACCATGCCCAACTTAAAAGCAAATCTCTAGTTTAAGAATTTTCTCAAAAACTTCACTTAAATATTTTTGGAATAGGAAAAAGTTTGGCAGTTTAAGTCAAATATTGTACTACAGTGTTTTAAGATAATGTTTAAAAAATAGACAACTCTGAAATTGTTTTTAGTTACCTTACCAAAACCCAACATATGTGTACTATGAAAAATAACACATTTGTTATAAGGATATCATTGATTTTTCATTTTTTTATTCTCTGTCCAACTACCAATGAGAAACCTACTAGTTAATCATCATGTGTTTCTTATTTTAATTTTAATTTTTGAATTTGCCTGCCTTTGGTATATTAGTTTTTAAAATTAAAGGGCAAATTTCATTAGAACAATGACATTAGGTACATGATTTTCCAAACTTAACAATGCTGTATTTAATTTTGTTGAGCATATCAGTTGAATATCCCACCATATATATCAGTTGAATATAACTACCATATATATTTCAGCTGGAGTAACTGTAAAGTCTGACTTTACTGTTTGAATACTTTTTTTTTTTTTTTGCAGTTACTCCTAATCATGTTCTGTAATGGTAGGCTCCATAGCTTTTTTTTTTGTATTTGATTCAGCACCTAGTATAGTGCCTACACTTACAGGTGCTCATTAAATGTATGTTGAATGGATGAAAGTCATTGGATTGGTGAGTTCCTCAATCTTACCTACTACCCTGCTCCTTGCAGGTTGCTTCAGGACCAGCTCCCTACTGCCACAGCCCTTGGCCACAGCAGCAAGAAGCTAGTCCCTCCCTTGTAATTGATTAATCGGGGAACTATTTTATTACTTGAAGATTTCCCTAAGTCTGAATCTTCAGGTATTGTAGATCAAGTTTGTTCCCCACTTTACTGATTATATAAGCTTGAAAGTACTATACAGTGGGGCTGCCTATAATGAAGAATACTTGTAGTAATACCTAATGGGACCCATATTTGTACAGTTCCTTGAGGAGTAATAATAGAGTCAGATGTGGCCCGATTTAATGTAAGTAAGAGTAGGTCTTCTTGAGTCTGTGACCCTGATTGAAGAATAGCTCTCTGGTCATAAAAAAAAAAAAAAAAAAAAAAAAGTTCATGAACAATCTTTAGTGTCTTTTCTTTCATGAGAATTTATGTTTGGAAATCTATTGATACCTTTTAGGACATATTCCTCTGTTCAGCATAAAATGTTTAGACATACCTGGTTTTGGACAGCTTAGTATTAAGAAATATATTTTATTTATTAAAACACTTGAAATATTTTAAGGAGTATTAGTTTTTGGTGATGGCAGGATGTCTGCTTGTATTATTAAAATGCTGAATTGGGAAAAATAATATTTTTCTTCTGTGATTAAAATTAGGAAGAAATAGAACCATTTCCAGAAGAAAGGGAGAACTTTCTTCAGCAGTTATACAAATTTATGGAGGACAGAGGTGAGTGTTTTTGCTTTCATTCATCCTTAAGTTTGTAGATTTCAGTGAGGTAATTAATATTTTGAAAAAAGGTATTCAGCTTATTAAGCCTCATGTCATGGCTAATTAAGACTGTGTTTTGACTGCTCGTATTAAAATACTTGGCACAGAGCTTGTCATATAGTAAAAAAGAAAGGATCATGAAGAATTTGACTGTATGTTGGCAGATTTTGTCCAGTTCCCCTCCTATAAGTGTCATACCAAAGAATCATTCATTATTTTATGGAACAGCAGCAGCATGGGAACCATGGCACCATTTAAGCATCTGCACAAAGGATTTTATTAAAATGTCTCCTCCAAATCAGTTCAATATACCTAGGTGTGTGTGTGAGAGAGAGAGAGAGAGAGAGAGAGAGAGAGAGAGAGAGAGAGAAATGACACATTTAACGTGGCCCTCATGTCTCCTATGACCCAGCCACATAGATATAAGAAGAGAATTAAATCCTTCATAGAGAGCCAGAAATACAAAAAGAAACATGACTTGGTCTCAAGGTGAGCCTTGGCTCAGTTGATTGTAGCTACCTAATGTGGAAAAACTGCAAGGATGAAAGGAAGAGGAGTGGGTGCTAACCTTTGTAAATTTATAGTGATGGCCTAGATCTTCAGTAGTGTCCTTGTTTACTCTTGCTTCTTCACTTGACCAGAGTTTACTTTCTCCTTTGCTGGAAAGATTCTAGAAAGGTAGAAGGGAAAGGCAGAAGAATTTGTAGCTGGAAGGAAAGGAGAAGATGAGTGTGATAATATTTGGAAGTGCCACACTACTCTGGGAATTAATGTTTTCTAAATCCTTATTTGTAATGCTGATGTGTAACTGGGTCTATATGTCTTCTTGTGTTCTAATAAATGATAATGGCTACCCTAATATGGGTATCTTTTTATTCTTCAATAAAAAGTGTTTTTTTTTTTTTTTTATTCCTGTTTTCTTTTATTTGAATGGAGGCTTGGCCCAAGAATATGCTTTTTCTTAGGCTTTTAGGTAAGATACATTACAAACTAAAGAATGCAAATAAAATGTGGTGTTAGAGAAGAGGATAAAATAAGCCATCCATTTTTGGAGAGGTTCATAGATTGCAGTCCATCACTATATTGTTAATCTCCTACCATTTTTTTTTTTTAATTTTGTTTTAGTTGTAGGTGGACACAATAATCTTTATTTTATTTTATGTGGTACTGTGGATTGAACCCAGTGCCTTACACATACTAGGCAATAGCTCTACCGCTGAGGCACAACCCCAGGCCCCTCTACCATTTTTTAACAGTTTAGAGTTTAATGTAGTATCCTTGTCCTGCATTTTCCTGTGTTGGAATGAAATAAGACTGTTTAGCTTTACTGTAGAACCAGTATTTACAATAGAAGTGAATTAGTAAATATAAATAGAGCATCATATAAATTGATATCATTGTGAAGCAGTTCCTTATCAATTATCTCAGCACTTTTTTTTAGTTTAGCCAAATCTTGCTTCCCTTATTTTTAAAAGCTTGGTTCTGACGGCATTTCAATTTGTTTTACTTTGAGTATATGCTTTTTTCACCAGAAGGGAGATGATGTAATGAAGTTTTTAAGGTTTCAAAATTCTGATATACAAAAACTGTAAAATTATGACATGGGTTTAAGTATGGTTATCCTGTCTTGCAATAACAAAGGAGATTTTTTTCTGATATGAATATATGTGTATTATTTGAATCTTTGAGACTTTAGATTAAAAAATGAAGCATAACACTAATATATTTTTTTATTTCTATAACAGGTACACCTATTAACAAACGACCTGTACTTGGATATCGAAATTTGAATCTCTTTAAATTATTTAGACTTGTGCACAAACTTGGAGGATTTGATAATGTAAGTATGATTTTGTCTTCATGCAATATGCTTTCTCAGGTTTTTGCTCTCATTAAAATTATTTTCTTTTAATAAAAATGCAAGAATATAAGGAAAAGAAAATGGAAAGTACAGTTTAGAAACAAGGAACTTTCATCCTCGGGTGAAATAAAAAATTTTTTGGCTTGTGTTGACGCTGGGTATTATATGTTGCTTAGGCTGGAGTTCTCCTATCTTAGCCTTCTGATTACTTCGGATTACAGATTTGTATCACTGTACCCTGAAATTTGAATTTTAATTTAAAAAGTCTTCAAAGTGAGCTTTCTCAGTTTGTCAGCATTTTGTGAAAGTCCTGTGCATATCTCAATCATAGCATGACCATATAGTAGAAACAGTTTCTATAATTCTTTGTCATTAGACTTGTATATTTCTTGAGAGTACAGATCCTTTTTAATATTCTTTACATTTTTAATCTTTTTCACTGTGCCTGCTATAGATAGAAAATGTTTGTTGAACTGACTTAAGGAAATAATTCTAAGGTTGCCATGATGTGTGGTATTCATCCAAATAAGAATATTCTGTAGAGTAAAGTGCTTTACTACTTGTAATAGAACTTCTTTGATTTATTGGCTTTTAAGTTTTATGGGACTTGTAAGTCCTTTAAAATTATTTTTCTCTCTTTGTTACAAATTTTGTTTTGCAACCTGGATACTTCCATGTTTACTATAAACAGGTTTATTTAAAAGTCATATGATCCAGTATTTCAACATTTGTAAGTCTTTCAGATAATTATTTATTGGTAAATACAAATTAGAATTAATCATATTTGATATATTTCATTCTTTTGAGACTATATCAATAAATAAAAACATAATTATATGCCGTATCTATCAAAATATTACTATATTCATATTCTAATTTGAAAATTTTCATTTCACTTTGTCTTTTAGATTGAAAGTGGAGCTGTTTGGAAACAAGTGTATCAAGATCTTGGAATCCCTGTCTTAAATTCAGCTGCAGGATACAATGTTAAATGTGCTTATAAAAAGTAAGTGTATCTGGTATAATTATTCAATATTTACTGTAGAAAACAGGATTAAATTTACCAATTTAACTGAAGCTAATTACTTCATCAGAGAAATCAGAAATTTTTACTAGAGTAATCCTGAAAGTTGTTGTGGACAAGGACATTTGTAAAGTACTACATATAGGTTAGAAAGTTAATATTCTATAGTAAGATAAATCTAGCTTTGAATCCTAATGTGTGTTTTTTTTTTTAATTTTAGTTATAGATGGACACAATATTTTATTTATTAATTTTTTTATGTTGTGCTGTGAATCAAACCCAGTGCCTTACACATTTGAGGCAAACGCTCAACCACTGAGCTGCAACCCCAGCCCTGAACCCTAGTTTTGAAAGTTATTATCTCTTTGTGCCCTTTGACCATTTATTTGTTCTCCTAAGCCTTAGTTTCTTCATTACTACTATTTGCCTCTTAAGATTACTGTTTATTAAATGAGATTTACTGATTGGCCCAATTTTGTTGCACTTAAGAAATCTCAACAAGTAGATGATGTTACTAATATGTCTTAATAGCTGTTATTGTCACTTTTATTATATTTAAGATTATGAAGGTCTTTTTTACTGTTTTTTTTTTGGGGGGTGGGGAGTAGGTAGTGCTGGGGATTGAACCCAAGGTACCAGCTGAGCTATATCCCCAGCCCATCTTTTTTACTCTTAATAGTTGCTTTTAAATGAATTTTTTTCTTGTCTATTTTGATTGAACATATTGAAAAGAACTAAAATGAATAAATTGGCTTGTTATATGGTTTGATATTTGAGACGCATAAACAAAAGATAGGAATGCATGTTAAAGAAATCTCTACACTAATATTTTATCTTATGTTTCCAGGTACTTGTATGGTTTTGAGGAGTACTGCAGGTCGGCTCATATTGAATTTCAGATGGCATTGCCAGAGAAAGTTCTTAACAAGCCATGTAAAGAGTGTGAGGATGGAAGAGAAATGAAAGTTAAAGAAGAAAATGAAATAGAGATCAAAGAAGTGAAGGTTGAAGAGGAGAGGAATGTAATACCAAAAGAAGAGAAGCCTACTGAGGATGACATTGAAAGAAAGGAAAATATTAAACCCTCTCTGGTAAATCAGAAATTGTTGATTGTCCTTTGCTGCCTTTGGTATATATATTTTTTTATAATATTGTACTTTATTGTGTACATTTCCCTTATGTACTACTTTTGAATATTTCTGATTTTATTTTTAAGAATGAAAGTAGTTTTTAAAAAAATGACAGGAGTTTCTTAAATGTTAAAAAATAACTGTATCTTTATTAGTATTGGCTGGTAGTTCTTGTTTCTGACACTTAAGATGATGGCTTTGGGTTGAAATTTTTTACTTTTGTTTGTTTAGTTCCTCTGATCTTTTCCTAGGGAAATAAAAAGAATTTATTAGAATCTGTACCTACACAATCTGATCAGGAAAAGGAAGTTAACATTAAAAAATCAGAAGAAAGTGAAAATCTGGAAGATAAAGACACTGATATAAATAGGATAGACGAATCCCTCAGCATAAAGGTAGAAGCTGAAGAAGAAAAAGCAAAATCTGGGTAAGAAATTTGTTTTTGGTTATGATGTATTTTGGCTAGATGAATTCTTCTCCTTTGATCTTTATGTTTATATGTTGAATCTAAATTGATTGACAAAGTATGGAATAATAGTGATTTGCATTTATTAAGAAAACAGCATTTGCCTCTTTCAGAGACCAAAATAACATTCATTTATAGAAAAAGATCATGGTTTTGATCCATTCTTGCTCTCATCATGGAAATTTATAAAAATTTTTAGAGAAAAGTATTTTTTTTTTTTTTTAAACTGCGTTAAGGTCTGTTGAATGACCAGATAATATGAACTTGAGACGATACCCTTCTTGTGTTCTGTGGATGGTTTTTTGGCTATAGATTTGGAGAGTATGTATTTCTTGAGGGGAAAAAAAAAAGGAAAAAACACTATTATAATAATAATCTTCAAAGGCCAAAATCATTGTTGTGTTCTGTATGATAGACGCATTTACTTGTTTTGATCATTTTGGGATGATGAATTATTTAACAATTTATGGACTGACAGGGGCCCCCTAGATTTAAGAGGTATCCTTTGGCATTTAATTTTATTTCTGAGGTTGAAAAAACATCAGCATTGCCACATGTGCACTCCTATTAATTCCTGTAATCCCATCAGCTCATGAGCTAAGGCAGGAGGATGGATAGTGGGACCCTCTCAAAATGAAAACAAAGGCTTGGGGCTAGGTCAGTGGTGGAGCATCCCTAGGTTTAATCTCTAGTACTACAGATAAAATGTAAAACACAAATATGATTAAGCACATTCATTTAAATAAGCACAATCAATTTTTTAAAAATCATTTTAGTATTAAATTTATCTACAGCATACAAACAAGTAATTAAAAAAACAAAAACAAAACTGGGCCTAAGGGGATAGAATAAGAAGACTTTTTTATTATGCTTTGTTATATTTCTATACTTGAAGTACATCTTACTGCTGTTGAAGACTATTTAACTATTAAGAAACTTAGTGAAATTGAGCCTTTTGCCTAAAATATCTTGATTATTTAGAGTTCTGAAATTTTCGTGGAAGTGAACATGGAAGAAAACAAAGTGGGGTTTAGATGAATATAATAAAATGTTTGTTTATTATACTTTGGTATATTTGTGTATAGGTGTATATGTGAAGTTCTTACTTTTCTTAATAATTATTTCAACTAATAAGAAATCTAATCAGGTTTTAACTTTTTGCCTAAAAATCTTAAATCTGTAGATGTTTTTGGAACATCTATTTGTAAGGCACATTGGTAAATCTGTGTTTTTCTTCGTTATCATTAATTGTTTTCAGTTTGGTATCTTTTTTTTTTTTTTTTAAGTTGTATATGGACTCAAAACCTTTATTTGTTTTTATGTGGTGCTAGGATCAAACCCAGTGCCTCACACTGGTGAGGCAAGTACTCTGCCATTGAGCTATACAACTCCAGCCCCTGCTATCTTATTTTATAGAACATTTTTTTTTTGTTTTATTAATCCCTTTAACTCTTAATCTGTATGAATTTTTTGGTGCCAGTAATGTAGTTCTGTGCTGCATAACAATTTTAAGGTCAAAGATGGTCCCTTTATATTATAATGCAGCCTAGAGTCCATCCTACATAGGGATGCATAAATATACTGTGTGATTCTTGCACAATGATGTAATCACCTCATAACTGACATGTTTGTCTGAATTGTTCTGTTTTTTAAGCAACACTTGCCTATATTCATAACAGAAACAATTTTCCTGAGGTGGCAGCCTAAATATGATAAATATTCTTTAAAACCATTGTGTGTTATTATTACTGATACAGTAGTTGCCCCCACTCTTTGGGGACATGTCCCAAGAACTCCTAGTGGATGCCTGAAACCTTGGCTACCACTTAGTGACAACATATTGTACTGTTTTTTCTTATGCCCTACAGCATTGCCAGATTTAGTCTGTCCTTTCATATTTTATGTCCTTGTATTTTCTTTGAATCACTGCTGTTTCACTGAGTGTCCATTTTAAAGTAAAATACACGTTACTTGAACCCAAGCCCCGGTACTATGATATGATAACCTAGATGACTACTAAGTGACTGATTAGGTAGGTAGCCTATACAGTGGTGCTGGACATAGAGATGATTGACATTTGGGCAGGATGGGACAAGATTTTATCACAGTCTCAGAATGCTACACATTTTAAGATTTATAAATTATTTCCAGAATTTTCAGTTTACTGACTGCTGTTGACCATGGGTAACTGAAATTGGGGAAAGCAAAACCCCAGAGTGGGGTGGGAAGACTGCTGTAAGTTTTTAGTTTTTTTAAGTGTAGATGGAATTTTTGCCACATAAAGTGTGGGGTGTGGTGTGTGTGTGTATGTGTATGTTTCTATTATATGAACTTTTTCTAAGTAATTGACTACTACCAAAAGGTTTCATTGCCCTTTCTCCATAGGCTAGGCATGATAGATTGAAGAATTTTATATATATATATATATGGGCGTATGATGTAGCTCAGTGGTATTGCATTTGCTTAACATGCATGAAGCCCTGAGTTCAATCTGTAATGCCACTATAAAAAAGTTAGTATATATAAAACGTCTGATTTTAGTGACTGGCCCATAGGTAGGTCCTTAGTAAACTGAAGCTTTAAAAAAAAATTGTTTCATTTTAAGTATAACATCAAATTGAGGGAAATTTGGCATTTCTTTGTTAATTCAGATGAAAAAATCTCTTAACGCATTTGGTTTCCCAAAATGTTCTTTAACTTAAATACATATGCATATATTTATATACATGCATCAGCTTAATTTTTAAAAATCTATATATTAGTCACATTTAATACATTCAGAGGATGTCTTTCTTGACATTCTTTGTTAGTACATTACCTTCTGAATTTGCCACTGACTCCTTTGAAAGAGTAGAAATGTTGCATAACTATATTCCTTAGTGACTCAGGAGGCTGAGGCAGGAGTATCATGAGTTCAAGGCCAGCCTCAGCAACTTAGCAAGCTTCTCAGAAATGTACTGAGACCCTGTCTCAAACTAAAACAATAAAAAGGGCTGGGATTGAAGCTCAGTGGTAAAGTGCCCCTTAGCCCTCCAAAAAAAGCAAGATTAGAAGAAAGTTTTATTTGGCTGATTGCCAGTAATTCCATTATTTGCTTCTTTATTTTTCAGTGGATTATTTACATAAATTTTATTAGCTTGTGTCTGACATTGATATTAAATGCAAATTTTTGATTTTTGATGTTTTTATTAATATAAGTATTTGGTTTTCATTCTAGTATAAATAAAACTGCCTTGGCTACCACTTTTAAAGTATGATAGTTGTTTGTGTTATTGGCATTCATCAGTTGTATTCGGTCTGATATATACTGTAAAGGTACAGTTTAGTGTTTGTTTTCAGTTTTTAGAATTTGAACTTCTTATTCTATATCTCTGTCCTTTCCTACATGGTGATTCTCAGGTGCATGATAAATCTCTTCCTTTTACTGTGACCATTAGAATATACTTCCTTTTCTTCCTGACATGCAAGGATATAATCTTAAGATTTAAAGTATTTCAAAGATATTTCTTAGCTGTTTTAATTTACTATATAATTTTAAGAAGAATTTTTTTAAAAAATGTTATTTTTTATTTTATGGTTTATTTTAAAGTTTAATGTCCGTAGTACCAGGTAATTTCTTAGATTTTTTTTAGCTTTATTAAAGTTATTTATTTATTAGAGAATTGTTTATGTATTTTCAACAATAATTTTTTTTTATCTCAGATCATAGCTGGTTAAAAGTTGTAGTAAACACTTATTTGACTATAACTGAGTGTTTAAAATAAGAATAATTCTTGAGAATCTTTGTACTCTTTATATTTCTGACAAAATTGAAACCTTTGGCACTTTGTGAACTCAGACTTCATTCCCCATATCTTTTATGTTTCTTCCCAACTGCACAGACAGAAAATGGGTGATAAAATATTTGAGAGTGCTACTTACATCACTATTTATAGGTTATTTTATTGCCTATATAGTTTACATAATTAGAAATGACAGAAAATATGTTGTCACTAAAGGGGTTACATATAAAAATGTAAAACTGTAATTAACAGTAGAAAAAGACATATCACTCTGTTGACGTAAAGCATTATTTATTAGCTGTCTTGTTCTTTTTCATGGTATTTATTCATTTATCAATTATCAGGTGATGGATGCTTTTTTTTTAAGAGAAAACTATTGTAATAAGAACAGAATAGTGCAGGGAGATCAAAACTGACCAAATATGGTCTTGAATTTCATAATGATATAGCAATTGGAAATATTTATAATTGAAGATGTTCTCCAGTTCAATGTAGATTTGTGGCTAAAGAATGCTCTGTTTGAGAGTATATGGTATTGAGAAGATCAAGTTAGTTGTAATAATTCTAGAATAGTTTTGTGTATTTGGAATTGGTCTCTTATATATACTTATGTCTTTGAAACTTTAAAGTTGAGAGAATCTGTAGAAGACGACTCTCAGTAAATACTTGGTAAAGAGTAGAAACTGATGTTCAGAAAGAGAAAAAACAAGCTTGATGTGATATTGATGTGACATTAGTAGAATATTCCTAATAAAGTTAAAATAACATTTCAGTTAGTGTAACATTTGAAAATGTGGTTGAAGCATGTTTTATTAAGACTAGCCATCTGCTAGTAAATATTTTTGTTTAAAGTATCCTGAGTCTGGAAATATGTGTTGAAAAATATTTTTAGTCAGAAAATGTCAATGAAATATAATGACTTTCTTTGTCAACTGAGATGTAAAACACTTCCATAAATAAAACCTGAGAAAATTGTTACAGTTGATCTTATTAGTTTCTTGATCTTACTAGTTTCTTGCTATTTAGCCAACCTTCTGTTCTTCTGATTGTTGGAAATGTTCTTTGAATGCACTTATTTTTAAATCTTCATTTTTCACTAGATGTATCTTTCTGTAACCATGGTCATCTTACACAGTTTTAGTTGTTTACATTAAATTGAAACTCAGAGTATTTCACACACATGGAATCTGCTGTTCCCGGAACAAGCAAAGCCACGATTTTTATCAGTGTATGTGGTTTGGAACTGAAAAGCTTATGAAGTATCTTTTATTAACTCTGCAATTTTTTAAACCTTTCAAGAGATGAAACGAATAAAGAGGAAGAGGAAGATGATGAAGAAGCAGAAGAGGAGGAGGAGGAGGAGGAGGAAGAAGAAGAGGAAGAGGATGAAGATGATGATGACAACAATGAGGAAGAGGAGTTTGAATGCTATCCACCAGGCATGAAAGTCCAAGTGCGGTATGGACGAGGGAAAAATCAAAAAATGTATGAAGCTAGTATTAAAGATTCTGATGTCGAAGGTGGAGAGGTCCTTTACTTGGTGCATTACTGCGGATGGAATGTGAGGTAACTTGAGTTTTAGCTAGTGATTATTACCTAAAAGCACTACTAAAATACTTTTCTATTTTAAAACTTAAGTAACAAATTTCGGACTTGTTAATATTCTAATTGAGGTCATAGTAGTGTATAAAAAATTCAAACCCGTAGTGTGTAAATACCTCACCTAGTGACTTTCTACTTAATGTTTTCAGCTCAGTAGACATCCTTCCTTAGTGTCTAGAAACAGAAATCTATGCAGTTGATTTTTATGTAACAAAAACATAATAGAGAAAATATTATTGATGGAATGATACCACATCTCTTAAACAGGTAAAAGGGATTTAAACGTCCTGATTTCTACCAGGCCATTTCCAGTCTGTCTTCTCTGTTTTAAACTACATTGCCACAATAGCCCCTTGCTCACATTCTTAAGTCATCACTCTTTCTTCAGTAGGCAGGGATTTACAAGTTGAGGTTTCTTAGGGAACATTAGTTGTTTCAAGAAGTCCTTATCTCCTCATTAATAGCTATTACATTATACCCTTGTTCTAAAGTCTTAGAAATTTATTTATGTCTTTGAAACAATATAATCGAAGATGTTGCTGGCTTGATGAGAATAGAATGCACCTCGTCACTGCCGCTGATTTACAGAACTGAAAAAGCAGATTTAATTTCAGGTTGTGTTCAGTGGCTCAATGTGTTTTTTTTTTTTTTTTTAAACACCACTTTTCTTTGATTTCCTCAAAGAGATTTTATATTTCAATTTTATCCAAAGTTGGCAAGTCAGTTTTACAATCTTGTTACTTTGTTATCTTTTAATGATACCTTAATTCATTTTGTAATGTCTTACAATATATGTGAAAATCTAGACTGTGATAAGAATTAGAAGCCCTGAAAAATCAACCATTGACATTTTAAGTGGCAGTATTCATGGTTTGCCTTTCTTTAAAGAGGAATATGGTTCTTTTGTTTCATATTTAAATTGGGATAGGGGTGTGGCTTATCAAGCACAAGACACTGAGCTTGAATCTCAGCACAGTGTATGTGTGCCTGCACACATACACATCAAAGTATTCTGTGGTTTGAGCCACCATCTCAGATTTTCTGTTTCTTGGAAGTACTTTTTTCTTTTTTAAGAATAGGAAGTTCTGGAAGTGTGGCCTAATTAATTACCTTTCTTATTTTGAGAAAAGTTGAATTTTGATCCATTATGAAACTGGGAAGAATACAGGAACTTCTGTCATGCAAGAGTATTCAGGAGGTTTGTTTGGCCTCATTCTTTATTTTTTTCTAATCAACAAGATTTGCCAAAGGATATAGTAATTCTAAAAGCACTTCTTTCCAGAAGATAGAAGTATTTTAGTTTTGAAAGTGATAAGGAGAGGGTAGGGTAAGGAAAGATTTTTAAAAGAGCCATTCATGTTTGTTATAACTAAGGAAGAAAATGAGAAGCTAGTTCAACAAGTCATGCTTATATCACTAAGGATGCCATCAATTTCTGACAACTCAAGTGTTCATACGCTAAGAACTTTCAAAAGAAGAAAACTTGCCCTCTTGATGAAGACTCGTGTGTTGGAGCTCTACAACTCCAGCATCGTAGAGAAACAGCTGCACTTCAGTAGACTAAGCAGTTAACTTTCTTATGATTCACATGACAGTGTCTTATTTCTTTCTGTAATAATAACAAAAGAGATTTTCTTATTGATAAATCAGCAAAAATTACAATATTTGCTGCATCTTCATATCTGAAGTTAATCTCATAAGGACTGCAACAAATCCTCATCAACTCTACAGCTATTTTCCTACTGTTGGGGGTCTTCACCTTTAACTTCACAAATGAAATCAGAAATGAAGATTTATGCAGAGGGAGGCTCATGAAAAAAATTGATCTTCAGTGACAATCATTCTCAAGAAAATTTAGGAAATTTCATGGAGCAATTTATGCATGCTTTTGTTTTATCTGTAGCTTTTTTAACAAATAGATTTTTCTTAAAAGAATATCTTGTGTTTTTTTAAAGAAACATTTTTTCTCAATTTCTATATTTTTTTCCTTTTTTCTGAAATGCTGTGTAGATATGCAAATATCCCTAGGTCATAGATGAAAAAAAGTATTAATTTTTGTTATGCACAGATTAGTATTTGGGATAATTCGTTTTTTTTACTACAGCAATGAAGAAGGGGGAAAAAAATATTTTACCTGCTTACATGAAATTTATTGGAATTAGCCGGAATTCTTGACCCAAACCACAAACGGTATAATGCTACAGAATTTTTCTGGTGTGGTGACCATATATAAAAACTGTTGTCCAACTTTGTAGAATTTATTAGGTCATCAGGCGGGGCAGACTATTTGGGCATTCTGCCATTATTTTATAAATAATTTTTAAACTCTCCTGAATGACATTCAATATATTGACAAATGTATTAAGTTATAGTGTGTTCTCTTATAGTCTTTAAAAATATCTAATTACATTTTTAAAAATTATAGTATGGGGCAGGGAGTATACTTCAATGAAGAGTACTAGCCTAGGGTGTATAAGGCCATAGGTTTGATCTCCAGCACTGTCCCCCCAAATATACTTACAGTTCTGTTTTAGTAATTTTTAATAGTAGACTTTCTGTTAATTTTAACTTCTCTTAGTTATATTGATATTTTACAGAAGTTCTTAATATTGTTACCTAATTGATCCCTTCACTCTCAAGTCTCCAAGGCATGTCATAAATATGGGAATGATTTTTGTTAAGTAAGGCTACCTACTGAATTAGCATACCATAAACTTCATGGAATATGGTGGATTTACCCTTGGTCTGTAAAAGTTGAATGTATTGGAACTATATGGATTGCTTGGCATGAGATTTAAAATGCATCAGTACTTAACTATGTTGTTGTGATACTGATTAAATTTTCTCTCTTCATTTCCAATTTGGCTTTCTGCAATCAAGGGAGCTAGGAATGTGATGAGGGAATAATATTTTCTATATTGAGGATAATCAGCTGAATTAAAGGATACCATAAAGTAAAAGAGGAATAGAAAAAAAGGTACTTTAAAATTCTAAGTGTAAAGCTCAAGTGGGTAACAACAGTTCTATTCCTTATTAGAAATTATTGAAAACTGAAAATAAGGCAAATTATGTATAAATATATTATTTTAAATAAAAATTGATTACATTTTTAAAATATCTAATTACTCCAAGTGCACTGAATCCTCTTTGGAGGCAGGGAATCAAGAAGAGAAAAAAAAATCTGAGTAAAATACTCACAAATAAATGAATTCAATTTCATTTTTTAATAATACTCAGTTGCTTTTTATCAAACTTTATTAGAGTCAAACATAAGTTGAACATCTATGTGCTAAATACTGTGTTGGGACTTAATTAAAAAAAATTTTTTTAAAGGAATTTCTAATCCAGACAAGGAAATCAGACACTACAATAGGATTTTTAAAATTTTTTTAATTTGTTTTATTTAATTATACATGACAGTAGAATGCATTTATGCACTTTGATATATAATACATAAATGGGATATAATTTCTCATTTTTCTGCGTGTACAGGTTGCAGAATCATATTGGTCATGCAGTCACATATATACACACAGTAATAATAATGTCTGTTTCATTCTACTCTCTTTCCTGTCCCCACATCCCCTCCTCTTCTCTCCTGTCACTTCCCTCAACCTAATCTAAGGTAACACTATTCTTCCCTAGTGACCCCAGCCTCATTGTGAATTAGCATCCACATATTAGACAAAACATTCAGCCTTTGGTTTTGTGGGATTGGCTTGTTTCACTTAGCAAGATATTCTCCAACTCCAACCGTTTACTGGCAAATGCCATAATTTTACTCTTCTTTAAAGCTGGGTAATATTCTATTGAGTATATATACCACATTTTCTTTATCCATTCATCTATTGAGGGACACTTAGGTTGGTTCCATATTCTAGCTATTGTGAATTGAGCTGCTATAAACATTGATGTTGCTGCATCATTATAGTTTGCTGATTTTAAGTCCTTTGGGTATAAACCAAGGAATGGGATATCTGGGTCAAATGGTGGTTCCATTTCCATTTTTCTGAGGAATCTCCATACTGCTTTCTACAGTGGTTGCACCAATTTGCAGTCCCACCAGCAGTGTATGAGTGTACCTTTTTCCCCACATCCTCACCAACATTTATTGTTGCCTGTATTCTTGATGATTGCCATTCTGACAGGGGTGAAATGAAATCTTAGAGTAGTTTTGATTTGCATTTCTGTAATTGCTAGAGATGTTGAACACTTTTTCATATTTTTGTCGATCAGTTGAATTTCTTCTTGTGTGAAGCATCTGTTTAGTTCCTTAGACCATTTATTGATTGGGGAAAAAACAAAAAACCAAAAATAATCCAGTAGGATTTTTGAGCCATTGAATCTACCACCCTTAGCCCTCCTTTGTACCCTCAGACCTTTTCTTATGTGGTGTACTTTTGTTGGTCAGTTGTTAGAATAACTTCATGTGACTCCCAGCTCTGCTGTTGCTTTATAATAATAGTATTCCTTGACAAAATCACAAGATCCCTAAACACTCTTACTCCTTGCCTTCTGCCTCAGCAACCAATCCTGGTTGGAGTTAAGCAAACAAACCATATTGACTGTTCTCATTTTAAATTCCTGACTGTGAACCTTAGGTGATCCCTTAGTTCTCTATGTCCTTTTCCCATTCACTTTTCCTGGTTTTTTAGTGGGCTGTAATATACTGTTGTTGTTTTTTTTTTTTTTTTAATCTCTTTACATCTCTAACATCTCTTTCCTGCCTCACTTTCAGATTGTGACTTTGCTTTTTGCCTCATTGAGAAATTGAGAAGAAAATTTCTATAGATTTACATTGCATCTACCTTCCTACCTGCATTTGCGTTCATGTTTTCTGTATTTGCACTTTTGGCGATAGGTTTAAAATCACATTACAGTCTAAATGCCCTTCTTTCTTGCCAAAGCAAAGACATGGGCCTATTTTTTACTTGTTCAAAATCATTCCCACCTTTAGACCTCTA